GAGGTTAAGCTTGGAAACTACAAAGGTACCACTAGGCATTTCGAGAAGAAATCTAATCCTGAGTGGAACCAAGTTTTCGCCTTTTCTAAAGATAGGATTCAAGCTTCTTTCCTTGAAGCTACTGTCAAGGACAAGGATGTTGTGAAAGATGATTTGATTGGTCGGGTTGTGTTTGATTTGAATGAGGTACCTAAGAGAGTTCCTCCTGATAGTCCCTTGGCCCCGCAATGGTATAGGCTCGAGGATAGGAAAGGTGATAAAGTCAAGGGAGAGCTTATGCTGGCTGTTTGGTTTGGTACTCAAGCTGATGAAGCCTTCCCTGAAGCTTGGCACTCTGATGCTGCAACTGTTAGTGGTACTGATGCTCTTGCCAACATCCGTTCCAAGGTTTATCTGTCTCCTAAGCTTTGGTACCTCAGGGTTAATGTAATTGAAGCTCAAGATTTGATACCAAGTGATAAGCAAAGATATCCTGAGGTTTATGTGAAGGCTATAGTGGGAAACCAGGCGTTGAGGACTAGAGTATCACAGAGCAGGACTATTAATCCGATGTGGAATGAGGATTTGATGTTTGTAGCAGCAGAGCCATTTGAGGAACCTTTGATCCTCAGCGTGGAAGACAGAGTTGCTCCTAACAAAGATGAAGTCTTGGGGAGATGTGCGATCCCGTTGCAGTATTTGGACAGAAGATTTGACCACAAACCGGTGAACAGCAGGTGGTATAACCTCGAGAAGCATATTATGGTCGATGGAGAGAAGAAGGAGACCAAATTCGCTAGCAGGATTCACATGAGAATCTGTTTAGAAGGAGGGTATCACGTTCTTGATGAGTCTACGCATTACAGTAGTGATCTTAGACCAACAGCGAAACAACTATGGAAGCCTAATATCGGTGTGCTGGAGTTGGGGATACTAAATGCGACAGGTCTGATGCCTATGAAAACTAAAGACGGTAGGGGAACCACAGATGCATATTGTGTGGCAAAGTATGGACAGAAATGGATTCGAACTCGGACAATCATTGACAGCTTTACCCCAAGATGGAACGAGCAATATACTTGGGAGGTTTTTGATCCATGTACTGTTGTTACTGTTGGAGTTTTTGATAACTGCCATCTCCATGGAGGTGAGAAGAATGGAGGAGCAAAAGATTCAAGAATTGGGAAGGTAAGAATCAGGCTTTCTACTCTCGAGACTGATCGAGTTTACACACATTCATACCCTCTTTTGGTGCTCCATCCTAACGGAGTCAAGAAAATGGGAGAAATTCACTTGGCTGTGAGGTTCACTTGCTCTTCATTGCTCAACATGATGTATATGTACTCACTGCCTCTCTTACCGAAGATGCATTACATCCATCCTCTAACTGTTAGCCAGCTTGATAACTTGAGGCATCAAGCGACTCAGATTGTATCGATGAGGTTGACCCGAGCAGAACCGCCTCTAAGGAAAGAAGTAGTTGAGTATATGCTTGATGTGGGTTCTCACATGTGGAGTATGCGGAGAAGCAAAGCAAACTTTTTCAGGATTATGGGAGTTTTGAGTGGGTTAATCGCAGTAGGAAAATGGTTCGAACAGATCTGCAACTGGAAGAATCCGATCACAACAGTCTTGATCCATCTCTTGTTCATCATCCTTGTGCTCTATCCCGAACTAATCTTGCCCACCATCTTCCTCTACCTCTTCCTCATCGGTGTCTGGTATTACCGTTGGAGACCGAGGCATCCTCCTCACATGGACACACGTCTCTCTCACGCTGACTCAGCCCACCCCGACGAGCTAGATGAAGAGTTCGACACTTTTCCTACTTCCCGACCATCTGACATCGTCAGGATGAGGTATGACAGGTTGAGGAGTATTGCTGGGAGGATTCAAACAGTGGTAGGTGATCTTGCAACACAAGGAGAAAGGCTTCAGTCTCTGCTAAGCTGGCGTGATCCGCGTGCGACAGCACTCTTCGTCTTGTTCTGCTTGATTGCCGCAGTTATTCTCTATGTGACACCTTTCCAGGTTGTGGCTCTTTGTATTGGAATCTATGTTCTGAGACATCCGAGGTTCAGATACAAACTACCATCTGTTCCTCTCAATTTCTTCAGGAGGCTTCCTGCAAGAACTGATTGCATGCTCTGACCTGGAAAAACTGCTTACAATCCCAAAGAAAATGCCTCCAGACTTGTTAGTTTGTTGTTAAAAATGTCATGATGACTCTTTTCTTGGTGATGGTTATGATGTCTCCGTTTGTCTTTTAGCATTATTAAGACTTTTGTTTGAAAGTAGTAAAGAAGTATCTTGTGTGGTTTTGATGTTCTCGTCTCTGGTTAGTAAGTCATAATCTCTGCCTCTCTGGTTTTTGTGTTTATCACTGGAGCTTTAGGAGTTTGGTGCCACTGGTTGGTTGCTGGTGAGATTAGAGGTTGACAATGGTTTGGTCTTTTGGTCAAATACAAGTTTGAATACAAAAGTTATAACCAATAAAATAACAATCTTACCCAAACCTTTGAATTTTATTTGACAATTGTTTTGCAACTAGTAGTAATTAGATACTTATTCTACACTGACCCACCACCATTAAGATGAAGAGGGAATAATCGAAGCAAGCTTAAGAGTTAAGAACACAAAATTATGGGCCCAGATTTGGTAATGGGCCACGTGACAAATGGGATACGTTATGGCAGAGAGAGAATCTTTTGGTAGCTTTTTGGGTTTCATCGCGTAGGTTTCACGCCACATTTTATCCATTGACTTTTTCTTTACGTCTTTTTATTTTGTTTTTATGATAGATAATAATTATAATTGGTTAAAATTAAATAATTGACCGGTCAATATCCATTAAAGTGGAGGAAGTAGGACGAAAGGACATTTATTCGCCGCGAAATCTGGACCGTACGATACTCCGATTACCCTTCTAAGGCTTTAACATAGGGGCAAATCTGTAACTTCACATTCCTTCTTCCCCCAATCTCCTCTTGTGTCTTCTTCGAGTTATATAGAGAGATAGAGATTGGAGAGCGAGCGAGACAAATCAGAAGAGAGAGAGAGAGATTGAGATATTGTAGAGTGAGATTCTAAAGAGAGAGAGAGAGAGATATGGCTAGTGGAATCGCTCGTGGTCGTTTAGCTGAAGAGAGGAAATCGTGGAGGAAGAATCATCCTCATGTAAGTGAATTTGTTTTAATTCGTGATTTTGATTTATGGGTTTTGGGTTTCGTTTGATTGTTTTTGGTCTCTGATTCCTGATTGGGTTTTTTCTTGTTGATGGTGAAATTTAGGGTTTTGTGGCAAAGCCGGAGACGGGGCAGGATGGAACTGTGAATCTAATGGTGTGGCATTGCACTATACCTGGTAAAGCTGGGGTAAGTATCAATCGTGAAATTAGGGTTCTTCAGTTTTCTTATACCTTTGCTTGTTTAACTTCTGATTGCTAGTAGCTACATAAAGAGATTTAAATTAGGGTTTATTGATTTGGACGGTAAAGTCTTTGTTTTTATCATTTTCTGATTCTTATGTCTTCAAACTTGTAAGCTTCACCAACCTCTTCCCTTTTTTTCTCTGTGATTCTGGTGGATGATTCTCTCATGTTAATTATTCTTTTGCATTCACATAGAACCTTGGAAGATTATCTAATATGAATCTTAGTGGAAAGAGTAGCTGTGTATCTATCTCCTTGTTTATCTTATATGTGATGTTTTAAAATTGGTGCATATAATTTTTGTATTGAATACGACCTTGAATATGAACTCTGCTGTGTATCTTACTTTGATTTTACCTGACATGGCTAATAAGAGTGTTACTACAAGAGCAAATGCTTATATCCATCTTTAGTGTTGTTCATAGCTAATTTTACATGTCTCTGCTGCAGACTGATTGGGAAGGTGGATTCTTCCCATTAACGATGCACTTCAGTGAGGATTATCCGAGCAAACCTCCAAAATGCAAATTCCCCCAAGGGTTTTTTCACCCTAATGTCTATCCATCTGGAACTGTCTGTCTCTCTATCCTTAACGAGGATTACGTAAGTACTATTGTGTTTCTTTCTTTTCATTTCTCCTTGAGCAAATCCAGCTTTGCCCTCAAGCTCTCTTTTGTTATGTGTATATCGATAGGGATGGAGACCAGCCATCACCGTGAAGCAGATTCTTGTTGGTATTCAAGATTTACTTGACACGCCTAATCCCGCTGACCCTGCACAGACCGATGGTTATCATCTTTTCTGTCAGGTACACTTAGAAAACTAAAACTCTGAACACTTTTAATAGGTTTTGAAACATGGGAAGGAACTAAGTCGAGTGATTGTTGATGATTGTGCAGGATCCAGTTGAGTACAAGAAAAGGGTCAAGCTGCAGTCCAAGCAGTATCCTGCTCTTGTCTAAAACCTCAAAAGAGAGAACGCACCAAAACTGATGACATGCTCTGAATATTTTCTCGTCTTGTGTCATTGTGTTTAGATGTCATTGGGTGATTGAAAACTCCTCATTTTGGCACCTTAAGACACTGTAATCTATTTATTTTCGAAGAAACTCAGTTCTTTTTTTCTCTATTTAACTGTTAATATTCTTGGTACTGATTCAGTTGGTGTTGCTTCTATATAATACATAACTATGTTCTCTGGTCGTTCATGAGTGTTGTCCAAATTCTACCAAGTTAAGTATATGAAGTCTTCATTCCAAATAGTAACGAATCTTAGTTGTGTGAATCAAGAAGTAAATATATTTCTAACGTGAAACAAGATTTAACACTTGAAAGTCGAAACCTTTACTCAAATAAAATTTACTCTTTTTTTTTCTGGTAAATACTCCAATAAAATTTACTACATCACTGATTTTACACATTTGAAGTAGGTTTAGTGCTTGTTATTAAATTGTTTGCTAACTTTTTAACAATTTTGTTTGTCAATGATTGGGTTAGCAAACTTGGAATATATTATACAGAACTTTGTGATTTAGCAACGAGATCAAGTCTACAGAGATAGATAGGCAAACGGATGTCACCATTTTCAAGCAATAGAACCAAAATTCAATACTTATATACAACTCAATTATTCAAAGTACAACAAGAATGAAATTCTTCTACAAGCCAAAATCGTCTACAAGTGAAGACACTTCAGAATATGAAATGTGTGAACTATAATTCACCTTTCCTATGATATCATCATCAGCAGATGATTCCTGATCTATTCTATCATCAGAACAATGATTTTTCAAAACGAGTATCCTATAAAATCGTCAAAAGATGATTGACGCTTCAAGTAAAATCATCAGCAAATGATACAAGTCTAAGAAATCACCGAACTTGTGAAGATATGTCATTAGAGATGACCTATAGATCCACTGTGATATCATAAGAAGATGATGTACTCACTGTGCAGGCACCTTTATGCAGATACCTCTCTCGTCTCTCCTCCAAAATGTGGATCATCGCATTGACATTAAAGTCCGTACCCTCTTCTCCCGCTCTTCCCTTTTAGCATGAGGAGTGCTCTTCAATTTCTGGATCTCCGCCATCACAATTTTCTCAACTTTGTCAATAGAATTGAGTAGCTTCTTCTCGGGTGTGATGAAGCCTGCTTCTTCCTCAGCTATCTCTTTAGTGATGTCAAGCAACATCTTATGGACTTTAGCAGTTGATGGTGGGCAACTACGCTTGAATCCCACAGATGGACCAGGAGTCACAATTGAGCATTTGTGTTCTCCTGACAGTGGTACTGGAGATTCAAGAACACCAACTTGTTGATGAGTTGGGATCTCAATATCTCGGCCATCGTCTCCTCCAATCCCAGCTCCTCTTCTTCTCTCAATAGTCTGTAGTTCAAGAGTGTAAACAGTATAAATCGCCAGGCTAAGCAAGCCTTATGGCAACAGATCTATTATTCAACTTAATCAAATAGGCTAAGCAAGCGTACTATGATTATTAAGAAACAGCTACCCTTTAACAAACATTTCAGTAGCAGAATCCCAATTCAGCTCAAATGGAGGAAACTAAGACTCAGCAAAAAACAATTAACCAAGCTGCAAAGCAAAACCCATGCCAGACCAAAACCGATTATACATAGAAGAATCAACAGGTAAACACAAAAGTGCTGGTGAAATTACCCGCATAATATGAGTTATATCACGTAGAGGTGTTCTAGGATACCAAGAAGGCAACAAACTAGGACCTCTTCCACGCCTAGCAGACACCATGGGCATATTATTCTCTCTTCCCTGTGACAATCTAAATGGACTGTGACCACCTCTACCATTACCAGGCCTCCATGTACTGAAATTGCCTCTCACAAGCCCGCCTGTTCCAACCAAAGATCCTCGTCCCATTGACCCAGTTTCTGGATTCACCGGAGATTCAATTAAACTAAGCCGTGAATCTGGCTCGTCAAGTAACACACCGTTACTGCGTCTGTTGACAAATATAGCCGGGTAATCCACAGGCCTCTCGATTCGGTCTCTTGCTTCTGGCATTCTGATAACGTCGCTGAAAAAACAAGAACATAGATTCAATTAGAGAAATGCCCCAGGATTTGAAGAAACCCTAGGGTTTTGTACCCAGAAATCAAATCGTTCATTTCTCCTAAAAAATCAACCCCAAATTTCCAGAATAATATCAAGAAACGGAGAACACAAATCTTCTTTCTCACAAATAATCCCAAAATCAAATCACAAACCTACCGTTTCCAATTCAAATCGAGTCAAAAGAACACCGCTAAAACCCCCCTAACGTCTATAAACGCAATCAGATAGAAGAAACACCATGGATTTTTACCTTTGAATCTTCAATAAAGCTGTTGAGGAACTCCAAAACGGTCTCTTCGACTGTGTAGAGAGACAATGAGAGAGAGAGAGAGAGAGAGAGAGAGAAGAGAGCTTTTCTTGGGGAGAGTGACGATCTGGGCAATCTTTGAAGGTCGTCTCCTGAGCGGGATTATAATGAGGAAACAAATCCGACGGCCCTGGCACGTGCGAGAGAAGGCTCTCTCACACGTGTGAAACAAAAATTCAAATTTTGCATCACAGGCGGGATCAACGCTTAAGCAAATCGGCTCCTTGTCTCCGAGAGTACAGTTTTACCCCTTGTAAAACCTAATGCAAGTAAAGTTTGTCTGTGTTAGAGCCTACCGGAGTTTCTCTACGCCTTACCGATCCAACCGTTCAACGGACACAGATCTGACCGTTACTTTGCCATTAAAGAATATAATACGGGAGTAATCCCGTGCGGACGAATTGTTTCCTACAGAGAAAGAAGCCGACACGACCGTCGTCCGATTTCGAGATTTGACACAATTTTCAAATGGTCAATGAGATTCTCTTCAACATTAGTCATGAAATTCTTTTTTACAGAAATTTTTTTATAAAATTAATAAGGTTAGTTTGAACTTAGAACAATGATATTTATTAATTTATACATATATTAATTGGTCCGAATTATTCAAAACATAAGAAATATATTTACATCATGTTCTAAATTTGAAGTGGGTGGTATATATTAGTAAAAATTCTTAACCACAACCATAGCAGGCACATATTCATTAAAGTTAAACCATTGCATAGTAATGAACATAAGTTCAGATAGTAAATTTTCGGAAAAACGGTCTATTTTCCCACGAGAACTACGACATCATAACAGATAGAGCCCAAACTTTAACCCCGGTCCATATGTCCATGAAATCAAAGTTTTATTCTTATTTCCCCTCCAATTAAAAGTTCCATAGCTTAATGTCACCGAGTCAATAGTTCGAGCACTAAAACCCCACGGTTCTGGGTTAAATCGGTTTACAAACTAAACCTGATAAAAAACCAAACAAACTCAATATAACCGAAATTAAACCCGACCCAATCTAAAACCCAACCATAAATCACCCAATTTCTTCTTCTTCTTCACCGAACCACTTTAATGGCTTCACCACTTCTTCTTCTTCACCAAACCACTTGAATGGCTTCACCACTTCTTCTTCTTCACCAAACCACTTGAATGGCTTCACCACTTCTTCTTCTTCATTAAGTCACCAAATCACCAATATGTTTAAAACACCAAATCACCAGCTCCAAAGCCAAATTTAATTAACCTCCATTGACGCACATTATCAGGATCTGCCTCTTTGCTCCTCTCTGCTCAGCCCAAGCATATTGATTTAGGTATGAGCATCGTCTTTCTCTTTTATATTTCAGCCACGAAGACGACGTCGACTAGCTCTTGACTCCCATGCCTCGCGTCGTTGATAACAGAGGATTCTCCATGAACTGGTCCATTAGATTCAGACCTTGGCTAATGATTTCGTCACATTTGCAGTGCAATGGACATAATTCTGGACGATAACTGAAACAATTAAGCTGGAAATTCTCAAAAAAATCTCAAATCTAAGATCGTAATGATGATGTTCATCATCGAGCTTGCTCCTAAAACTGAAGTCAAATTTAATCAATCTTAGTTCCATATGAAATAAGATTACGTGAGAAAATAACAAATTGGATTCCATTGCAATTAAGGACTCTTCCTCCTGCCACAGATTAAACGAATTGGATTCTTGTTTCTAGGGTTCTTCAAGATAAATTGTTCTTCAAACGAATCTGATTTTGGGGATATGGGTTTGGTTTTACTTCTAACCGGGTCGTTATCGGATTTAATACGGTTTAGTATTTTTGTTAGGTGGTTAAATAAACAGTAAACCAAACAAAACCGATGACAATGGGTAATTTAGATGAGAACTAATATTCCGAGGAGATATAGGATGAAATCTATTGTTTCAGAGAGACATAGATTGATAAGTATTTTTTCGGGGACATATGGGTCGTGGTCATAGATTGGGCTCTATCTGTTATGATGTCATAATTCTCGTGGGGAAATAGACCGTTTTTCCTAAATTTTCTTATTATATAATCCCATTATATTATCACCACATAAATAACAAAACATATAGGATATGTTTATTAATTCCAAGCATAACAGATATCATATCGTCCAGTATGTGAATTAAGAGCACAAGGGCCATTCCTTCTGATGGACCAAAAACAGTTTCTGCACTGATATTTGTCAATATTATCTCTGCTATCTCTATAAACAGTAAAACGACGTTTGCGAGCACCAAATCTAAATAAACAATCATAGTAAGTTCGTCCCCAGAAACTTTTTGTGAATTGAGCGAGTATGAAGATGCATTGGGAGTTATGCAGTGTCCTCCATTAGTGTCCTCCAAAGACGCAAGTATGAAGGGGCTCTACAGTTATGGTTTGCATCAAGGAATACATAATCAATGTCCCATCTAATTATTTTCAAACTTCAAATTAACAGTAGCATTTTGATGTAAAAACAGTTTTTTTGGGTCTGAGTTAATTTTACATTCAATTCAAAAAAAAAAAAAAAAAAACACATCATTGTTAATAAGATCTAATTGTAGGTTATGTTAAAGCGACTTGATTTGATATTTTAGAGAGAGGGTCAAGGCTTAAATGTTAAAACCAGGAAACAATAAAGTAGTTTCCTTCATCTACTACAAATGTACAACAAAGGAGAGTAACTACATGATGATCAGGACTCAGGATCCCTAAACCCATCTATATAAATTTTTTATTTATATTAAATACATTGTATGATACAATTTGTATCATTCAACTAGAAAATTAAACAGTATTAGTTCATCACCCTTTAATATATTATAAACATTTACATTGAACCCGCAAATCTATGAGCCTAAACTTATGAATAACGTAAATGCAACTTTATTGTATTATATAAATCATTAAAACATTTGCATTTAATTTATAAGTTTATTTATAGACTAAAAATTACGTTATTTTAATTAGAAATATTTTAGCGCATTTACAAAATTTGGTTTTGATATCTCGAGATTCAAAAATAAAAACTTTGATTTTTTGAATCGTTCTATAAAAAAAAAAAAGATTGTTCTAATTTCTATAACAAACACCAACTTGAATTCTTAGATTTTGTAACCAAAATAAATTGTTTAATCTTATGTTATTTAATTTTACCTAGTTAGTAAAACTTGTAAGCCCACACCACACCACATATTCACTAAACCATTACATAATAATCATAAATTTGAATAGGAGTACAAATAGTAACTTTTATTATTATAAAATTATTATCATCATATAAACAACAAAACATATATAGTTTGTTTATCTATCCCAAGCATAACAAATATCATATCTTTCAGTATGTGAATTAAAAGCACAAGGTCCATTCCTTCTGATGGACCAAAAACAGTTTCTGCACTGATATTTGTCAATATTATCTCTGCTATCTCTATAAATAGTAAAACGATGTGTTTGTGTTTCACCCCCAAATCTAAATTCACAAACATAGCGATTTCCTCCCCAGAAAGTTTTCGTGAAATGAACGAATTCTTTACTACGCCCCGGTAAAATTAATCCTCGGTAACGAGAAACCGTATTTCCGTTCTCAATGCAACTAGAATGTAGGTCCAATCTACCTTCGATATCGTTGGAGACGTATACAAATATTTTCGGAAAAAATTCCCATTTGAATATATTCTTACCCATCACTACACCGTTTTGAGATAACGCTACTTTCATGAGCAACGATAGTGTGACAAGCATTATCAGATTTCTATGGGAAGCCATCTTTTATTCTTTGTTTTATGGTTTGCAATGTTTCGTTAAATGAGTATTTATATTGTGAATGAATTTTTTTTTACCATGTTAAGTTGTAACTGACTGCGTTAACTTATAACATTGGCTAGCTTGGTGGTTTCTACTTTCTAAAGGAAAAAAAAAAAAAACATTAGTATTAATTCACCTGTTTTATGATCTAATAACCGTTTTGTATTCTCTTGAAACACACATCATTGTCAATGCTACATTAAAAGATCTAATTGTAGGTTATGCTCAAGCGACTTGATTTGATATTCTAGAAAGAGGGTCAAGGCTTAAATGTTAAAACCAAGAAACAATGAAGTACTATCCTTCATCTATTACAAATGTACAACAAAGGAGAGTGACTACATGATGATCAGGATCCCTAAACCCTACAACATGCCAAAACTCACTCATAGAGAAGCAAAACATGATGGTGCATGAATTTTACACTCGACGGAATTGCAAAATTTCTAACTTACTTTCGGAGTTACCTCGAAACGAGCTCAGACCGATTTGATTCGGCCGAGACTCTCAGACACTGATCTCATCCTCGGACGAACCTCTGGATCCATTTCCGTGCAGTTCAAGGCAACATGAATGGCTGCAATAACTTGCTTATCTGCGTGACTTTTGTTCAGAATCTCCGGGTCTAAAATCTCAGCCAACGGCTTCTCTTCCTTGACCCAGTTCCTCACAACATGCACTAGTTCTTCGCCATTGTTTTTATAGGAACCATTGGGCAAACGGCCAGTCAGCAACTCCATTAGGACAACCCCAAACGAATAGACATCACACTTCTGAGATAATTTGCAACCAGAAGAAGCTCGAGCCTCAGGTGCAAGGTAAGCAACAGAGGGAGCTGTGATTCTTGTCACCGTTGTAGCAGGGGTTAAGTAGGTTTGGTCTAAGCTTTGCCTTATGGCGGATAGCGAACCGGTGAGTTTGGAGTAACCTGAGACCAAACGTGTAAGACCGAAGCCTGAGATGCGAGGCTGTAATTCGTCATCAAGCAGTATTTTGGTTGATTTCAGGTTGCCATGAACGTACTTTCTCGGGCTGTACTCATGTATATACATCAAGCCACGAGCGGTTCCTTGTGCAATAAGTAACCTCTCAGGCCAAGAGAGTGAAGGCAGAGTATTCGAAGGTCCACCTACAAAAAAAAGCAATGGTGCAATCGATATTAAAACATCCCCCCTCAGATTAATCTGACCTCTGTTTTTTTCTGTCTCATTAAACACTCTTAATACCAATCTTAACCTCTTAAACCAACAATATCCTCTCATCAAGTTAAAACAAACAGGATCTTTGCACCACCTTCTACATTGCTCTTTCCTAATTCAAAACTATCGCAAAAACAGAATTTACGTTGTTGTTTTCGACAAGAAGAAAGATCCAAGTTTGTCTGGAACTAGAACAGTTACCAAACATGTGACTTCAAAAGATTTTGAATGAGAAAAGAACAAGAAGAAGACGCCAACAAATTTTCTATTATCATACAATCTAATATAGACAAAACCAATCAACTGGTTCAAGAGCACCAAATCCAAAACAAACCCCAACTTTTGTCTCTTTTCGACAACACCAAGATTCACAAAACATTACTGAGATTAGCTTTCATAATTAGTGGTTGATAAATAAAGATTTCATCATTACCATGTAAGGCAGAGTACAAACTCCCGTTGCGTAAGTAATCAGTGATCAAGAGCCTCTCGTCCTCCGCATAGTAATAAGCTCTTAGCCGTACGATATTTGGATGTTGGACTCTACCTATAGCCTCCACTTCATTTTCGAAATCCTTCCGCTGCCACGTGGCATCTCCGTCGCTTAGCCTTCTCACAGCAACGACAGTGGATGACGTAAACGTCGCCGCCACTGTACCCGATCCCATTCCGGCCACTACTCTGTACACAATCCCACTTCTGCTCTTTCCAACGACGTAAGCCGATGCTCTCAGCAAATCCTCGAGCTCGAGCTCGAATCCTTCGTCCATCACCACAAATTTACCTTCCTGGTCCTCCTCATCATCCAATGGCGCCGCCGTGTTCTTTTTCTCCGATTTGCTCAATTTTCTTCGAATCAACCATACGGAGATAGAAACAGCTCCGATTACGATTGAGACTCCGGAGATGAGAGATACCGTTACTGATCCGGTGATCGGTTTATTCTTTCTTCCGTCCTTGTCGATGAAACTAGGGTTTGGTCTCTTCGGGAGGATTTGTGAGCCTTCTGGTTTTGGAGCGACGAGCTTAGGATTTGTAGTTTCTTCTTTACATAGCTTTTGTAATGGGAAACCACAGAGATCAGAGTTTCCGGCGAACGCGGTTGGTCCTTGGTTTAAAAGAGAACCAATCTGAGGTATTTTTCCGGTGAGATTATTGTGGCCGAGATCTAAGCTGACGAAAACCGGAAACCGTCCATACGACGGCGGGATTTCGCCGGAGAATCTGTTGTAAGAGAGATTGAGTGTGCCGACTAAGCTTCCGAGTTGAGTGAGTGACTCAGGGAGTGACCCGTTGAGAAGATTAGAGGAGAAATCAATGTGAGTGAGATTCTTGATGGATTGGATTTGGGCCGGAATTGGGCCGGAGATTGAGTTGTGAGAGAGATCAATGTAACGGAGATTAACGGCGTTGAAGAGACGAGTCGGAAGTGGTTTTGAGAAATTGTTGCGAGCAAGGTCGAGTTTTATGAGTGAGTCGAGTAGACCGAGTTCTGAGGGTATGTAACCTGATAGCCTTCTCCCGGAGAGAACGAGTGAGGTGACTCGGCCGTGAGTGCAGATGATTCCAGGCCAGTGACACGGCGTCGGGTCGGATTCGGACCAGGAAGTCATCACACGTGTCGGGTCTTTAAAGATGGCGGATTTGAGAGCAAGAAGTGATAAACCATCGGGACTCAGCGACGAGGAGAAGCTAATGAAGAAGGAGAAGTAGGAAGAAAGGAGAAGTGAAAGAAGTCGAAGAAACTGCATTTTTCTGGAGAGAATCAGAATCTTGAAAGAAACTTGTTTAATATCTAAAGATTATGTTTCATGCAAGTGATGCAACGAGGAGTTGCAGAGAGAGAAGAAGAAGAAGACGAAGAAAAAGAATTCTAGGTGATGATGGGTTCCAAAGTAGCAACGTGGTTGTAATGTAGACATGGGAAAGTTTTTTGAATTCTTGTGAGCTTAAAAGTGTTGGGAAATGGATATAAATTTGAAAATAATAATAATAAAACAATAAAAATGTGTTGTGCTCTGTGACAGTTTAGTTATTGATTGTTAAATCCTAAGTTTTTTAGTTATTGACTGATGCAGGTGGGTTGCTCTGCGCTTTTTAATTGTTTGTTTTAAAAATTCTAATTTTGTTGGGGTTAAGAACTTCAGATTATTGGATTTCGTTTTTGTTAGAAAATGGACATGTGAGAGTAAGTCTTTTTATTAATTGAATTTGCATTTGTGTTAGGAGACATGAACCTTAAAAACACTAAACTTATCTGGTGAAGGCTCTCATTACTAGTAGATTAACATTACTTGGCTTGAGCAGCAAAAACAACAATTTTGAAGTATTGTTTTGTTTATTTTGAATCGTTCCATTTCAACCAGTGGCCTGACCAACAACACTACTTATAATAAAATATCACACTGACCATATCTTTTGAGTGCCCACAAACATTATGAACTTTGTATTATCACGATTTGACAATGTGTGGCACACAAGCTATGATTTTGAAACCACCAAATTATTTGAAATTTTATTCAAATTAAAAGGTAACATTGTATAACACATGACTATAGATTGTGGATGTGTCAGAAAAAAAAAAACCATCACCACCTGACAAAAGTCACCAATACAAAGATGCATTTTAATATCCCACTTATGTCCCCAACAACAACCGTACCGGATGACATTTCGTAAATTCATACCCATACCGGTTCAAAACAAGCATATCTATCCTTTCTTATGGAAAGTGTGGATTTTGGAATTGGAGCTTTGCTCTCATGAATCAAAAGGGCATAACCATGGGATATGGCTTGAATCTGATCTCCTTAACCCTAATTTGCGATATAAACTAACTTTCTTGTCCTTCATATACTGTGATTAGCATTCTATAATTATCAAAAAAAACAAATACACTAAACTTGTACTTTCACAGTTTAGATTTAGTTACTCTTGTTTCTTTGTCTCTATAGAAGCTATGACAACAATTGTTATACACTAACCTTTGAGTTTTGTATTGGGGTGGGTTTATCAGGTTGACCATAGGATCATAAGGAAGAAGATCCATGTGCGTGTGGAGCAGTCAAGATGTGCGGAGGAGTTCAACGTGAGGAAGAAAAAGAAGAAGAATGATGAGCTTAAGGCTGCAGCCAAAGTCAGAGATGAGACCATTAGCACAAAGAGGCAGCCTAAAGGACCCAAACTAGGATTCATGGTCGAAGGTATGACCTTGGAGACTGTCACACTCACTCCCATCCCTTGCGACGTCGTCAACGATCTCAAGGGTTGCTATTAATTCTACTAGTCCGACCTTTTATTTTTGCACTTTGATTAGCTTCATTGTTTCCACTGTGTAATCCACATCTTCTATGAATTAGAACTAACTTTGTCACATTTAGAACCATTTCAAATCATTATTCAGCTTTTCAACAATAGTGGGCTGATATCACACTGACCACATATATTCTTTTTGAGTGTCCACAAGGAACTTTGTCTTTATCCACAAGCTGAGCTTTTGAAACTGAAGTTTTTTCAAATTAAAAGGTAAAAAAAGGTTACATTCTACAAGGCATATAGATTGTGGTTGTGTCAGAGACAAAAACATCATCATCACCTGACAAAAGTCAAAGATGCAAAACTAAATTTACTAAAGTTTAGATTTTGGAATTGAAGCTTTACTTTCGTGAATCAAGAGGGCATCGTAATGACCAAAACCATGGTATAGGACTCGGATTGGGTCGTCTTTACCATATTCTTGACCATATTCCGCAATAGATATCAATCCTCCAGCTTTCTCGTCCTTCATATACACTGTGATTGGCATCCTATGATCACAAAACACCTCTATTGCTTCATTTTTTTTCTTCTAACAAATAGAGCATCAATCTTTCAAAGATTAATAATATGCCGCCCGTTTCGGGGATTTGTTAGATTTCAATCTAGAATGTGTATGAGAAACTAAAATCATGCACATCAAGAAACAAAAAAAAAAACAGATGAGAAGAAGTTATTTACTGGAGAACGTGTGAAGCAATGAAGAGTTCAGGTTCACCTCCCCACACGTGTGGCTCCCGAATTTGTCTGACATATGAATCGAAATCTCCTTCCACAAACCTGATGAGAATCATCAGAATGAGTAGATGCAAAAAAAAAACTTTTTAGTCCAGTAGTTCATACATTGAATTAATAAGATGTTATGTTCTCAAGGCCCTTCTAAAACCCGTGACACTAGTAGTAACAAGAGATCAACTAATTTTATATGTAAGTTTAAGAGTGGTTTATAGCCAGCGAATGAAGTTGTATTGGTCTGAAAGAAAGACTCACCATTCTGTTTCCTGTCTTCTTTTGATAAACTCATCAGCAACCTATCATATTCAAAGATAACACATGGATTGGATTTTTGATAGATGTGTAAATTAGGCTTAGGCTTTGTTGAATCAGAGAAAAAGAAAGTACTAACGTACCATATGAATCCCAATTCAACAATTATTTTGATTTTTGGGAGCAAAGTATGAATGATAACCAGATACTTACCTTGGTACGTAATTCATCAGCGAGTTCTCTCTGCATCTTCTCGCCTGGAGCCAGTTTTCCAGAGCGTAAGCAAAATCCATGAGCTACAGAACGAAACAAGCATCTACCATCCCCCGGAATACCTACAAATCATTGCCATTTTCTGATTCAACAATGGTCGACATAAAAAATAAGATGAGCAATCTTAATAGCCTGACTAAGTTATGCCATAGGACACTTACCAATGATAGAGTAATCAGTGTAGACTCTTTTCCCATTGTGGAATTTACCATGAGACGAATGATTATGCACGTTGTTAGCATCTTTATCCCTTGAAGCATCTGCGTACGCTGATTGGGAAGTTGAAGAATAACAAACAAGCAAGCTAACAATCACACCTGTATAAGCAAATCTTGAATACCAATAGAGATTTCTCATGTTGGATTCTATCTTGGAGCATTTCATTTTAGCATCAGGGGACAAGAAAGAAACTTCAAGCTTTTCCTTAGGACCAACGGTCGATCGATTGATCAATAGCCTTTTATCGTGCCAACTAGAAGGTCTATTAGAGACCGATACGCGAAAACCGGTGTAATGTCTTCTAGAAAGTCCTAATAAAAGACTGTGACAGGAGAATTTATATGATCCTTGAGCCACAACGCCGTAGAGGTGAGTGCCTAAATGCCCCTTGATATTGATAGCATTCCTAGAACATGTTGTAATTGGAGAGTAACAAATCATCATATCTTTTTTCTAATAAGAGTCCCCCTATTTCAGATACCTACACAAAGAATTTCCAAGTCTTTCACATTTATAGCTCCAATGATTCCATAAACAAAATCATTACTTGATAACAAAATCTACCTCAAGGATGGCCAAAATAGCCAGCTATATAATTATAATCTAAACCCAGGAACTGAAAATCTACAGGTGATTGCTCTATAAAAACATAAGAATGTTTTGAAGTAAAATCAACAGGTAATTTGAATATCAGGATTTTTTTCCCAGGGACTTAAACCAACGACACAATCTAAACCTATTGAAATCGAAAAACGTAGAAGTAACGATAAAATTGCGTACGCGCATCAGAGAATCATCGAGAGAGAAACACGTGAAAAGAGTGAATGGAGGATTACAAGGTGGAGAAGCAAAGAATGTTGTCAAGGGTGTTTGTTGTACAGCTCACACTGAATTTCCGACAAAAGCAACAAAGAAACCGTTGTTTGGTCACTGTACGAGGTGAGAATTGGACAAAACAAAACTGAAATTGTTCTTCTTCTAGCGCAAGGTCTTGTTGAACCGACGAGATGCTATGAAACAAACAAAAACGAGTCGAGAAGCTTCGACTGTTGAACCGTGAAATCGCTTTACTCAATCTAATCATTAAACGCTGCCGTTTTTACAGAGCGCAGCTGATTTTTAGCTTGACTGGGCCGATAAGTGGGCATAAAATTGGGCTGGATTTTGTTTCAGGTAACCAAACCCGTTTTATGATTGCCAGCTACTTAGCATGATTATTATTTTTAACTAAACATATTTGATCGTATTGAATTTTGTACTTTTTATTTGATAATACTGAACTGGTTACTTCATAAAATACTTAAAAAAATAAAATATTTATATGTTCGTCCAGAGATTAACAAATATCTTGATGATACTTGGAAAGGGAAACCCAACAAAAAGTTTATCTGTGTCAGAAAACTTTTCCTGAAACTGGCAAATAGTCTCGAACAGCTTGCCGTTAGTGGTACAAACACAAAAAGGACTCTCTGGCAAAGCAATGAATGAGTTTGGGCCCATCGTTTTCACGGCCCATTTAGACCCAAACAGAACACATCACTCGCCGTGCAACTTGGTCAGTGGGTCCCCCCATCATTTTGGTATTCCACAAGGGATTATCGAGCATGGGCCCAACTTTATCACAAGTCCTTTTTTTTTGGGTACTTCTTTTATGGGCCCACTTTGTTTCGTCCTTGTCTTCTGGGCCCTTCGTATGTTCCGGTCTTTTTCGTCACTATTTTCTTCTCGGTTAATCAATTTAAAATTTTCTTTCATTTTGTATGGTCTTATTTCTTTTTTCTTTTTCTGGTATAGTGTTAAGAGGTCTTATTTCTTCTAATCCATGTCTGCGCAATAAGCTATATGATAAAATTGTTACGACGTTGTGTTTTGTTGTAATGGATCTTTAACGTTATTGACTAATTCATTATTAAGCTACAGACAATGACGATTTGTTGTTGTATTTCATTGTGTTCAGATGTTGTAGCACTCCTTTCTGACCATCAATTCGTTTTTTTTTTATCAGTCACAATATTTAAATGATCAAGTTAATGCTGAGAAAGTTATCTTACAATTAATGCATTTTAAAGTAGAGTTTCATTCTTAAAGGTGAATGTATAATTATAAGAAGATCGGTTGAATCCAACGAAACGAACATGTGAACAATGATCGATAGAAGTGTTTCGACCTGCATCACTCATTACCTATAACGTATTTTACTATTACACAACACTGTATCAGTATCGATCATTGTGCCAAATATGTATAGACATGTACGTGTATCTTTATATTTATATATATGTACGACGAATTCTATGCGTTTAAACGTATAACGTAGACGTAGAAAATTTAGAGACACGCCTCCTTCGTAATCTTTTATAAGTATACAATTCGACAGTTCAATATGATATTGACAATCTTTAATCATTACGACCCCTAAACAAATTTAGCACTGGACTTGGACTTGTACTTCTAGTTTTGGAGATGAAGTGCATTCATGATGTTTGATGCGTTTTTAAATATTTTAAAGAGCTTATATACAAGTATGATTATACGACTAAATTCCCAAACAAATCTTTCGATGAAGATAAAATTGTAATAACGATAAAAAAAAACGAGCAATGTATCAGAACGTTGAACAAAAAAAAAAGAGAATTGCATGTTGACATTCATACAATGCACAAAACTAGTTGAACTTAACAAAATTCACCTTAGATATTGAATCGTTGTCATCTTCTTCTTTTGTGGTTTAAATATTAAATGTACCATATTTACATTGACAATCTACCTATTTTAAAATGATTATTAGCTAAACCAACTTACAAATAACGTTTTGACAACCATAATTGTTATGCACTTTTCAACAGTCTTAACTTTGCTTACGGATGTCGTTTGTTCAGCAATTTGGGAATAACTCATAATAAGAGATATATTTGTTGTTGTGTGGATCCCATGCATGTCAGGTTTGTAACAGCTGTCGAATAATGCAAGCTACACAGAAAAATAAAACTTTTTTCATTAAAACACAAAAAGAAGAAGGTTAGGGAGAGAGCTATTTTATTGAGTCATTTATTTGTCAAAACATTTTAATATGGGAAGAAGGGAATTCCCACACCACTCCACTACGAAGAGAGGCTTCTTGGGCCAGTGTCACGTGATTAACACACGGATCCAGCAAATTTCTTTATTCTATAACATATTTCTTTATTCATCGCACACTTTTTTTTTTTTCTCCATTCTTCACGTATACATCCGAAAATCTTTGTGGTCTCGCCCATATCCATCCTTTCAAATCCATCATGATCTCAATGTGATACGTTAATAAGTATTGTGCAGATAATCCTCAAATCGTTTTTCAGCAATAAAAGAAAATTATCCTCTCTTATTATAAATGTTTTATATGTGCGAAATATTAAAAAGATAGTCTCATATGAGTTCGAGACCGCTTGGGGACAAATTTTAGAAAGATAAAATCATTTGATATGGAATTTGAGTTTATAATGGCAAAGACTTTTCATAATTAGAATGTTTCTTATTGATAAAGACAGACTTTGCATGTTTCATACTCAGTTTGACATCTAATTCAAATTTAAAAAAAAAAAAAAAAACAGAAAAGAGTCGTATTGCTTCAAAATATTGATATGTAGAATAAAGTGTATATATGTGAAAGTGTTATAACATATGTACGTAGGAATTAGGTTGGTTAAAGAATTGGCTACATCAATATCTGAGACACCAAAGAAGCAATGGACGTTGGGAGAGTAAGTAACGTTGCCAAATTGGAAATGCCAAAAAAGATTGTACCTTTCCTCTCTTTGATTGAGACTTTACTACTACACCAAACCTTACACCACCACCAATAGCTGAAAGTGATACCGATATTTTAGAACATTTATATTCCACTTCTACACCCATTACTTTTTTAAAAATCTTTTTTAATTTCCAATTTTGAGTCTTAAGTAGATGAAGAATTGGCTAATCATAATCAAGCGTTTTGCAATGAAATGAAATTTGGAGTTTGGGCTCAGTTTATTAAGACATAAGTGGATTTTATGTTCGGCCCATTGTGTGAAACATGTTATTCCACTGGACCTACCTGTTTATTATTTTATCCCTAAATTTTCCTCACTATCCCGGAAACACCCCTTTAAAGAAGTACCATTAATTGCTTTTTTTTTTCCATCTTTCAATAATTTTAGAACATAATTTGAATTATGATTGTGAATTATTATATTCTTGAGGAATTTTGAATATTTTAAAATATATAAAAATATATTTTCATGCTTTCATCCCTGCTGTAATATCCAACGCTATTCACTGTGACTTTGCCACAAGTAATTATTTCTATTATGAAAAAAGTTGTTGATGAAAAAAAAAAAAAATTAAGCTTGGTCGACTTGTCCGGTTTGGTTTCATTGCAAAGCCCACAAAATCAAAAAGGTTTAAACAGTGAAATTAATTACTGTAAGATCGGTCTGTTTTCCAGAACTTTCCTCCCAAAATATATAATTAAACAAACTTCGGAACCATTTCCATTCTCCAAGGCAAAAATTAGCGAGATTTCATCCAACGGCTGACATAATTACTGTTTTAAAAATGGTGCTTTGTGCTAAATTATTTTTCGATATTACAAGTGTGTTCCTTTATTTATTTATTTTGGGTTACAGGTCAACAAAATTATTTTTTTGACACCGGAATCGGAGTCCGTGAAAAGTCAGAGAACCTGATGTAACACCATTTATGGCATTAACTACTGATAATAATAATATACGAAGTCCAATTATTATACTGAAAAATAAAAAAATAAAAGAAAAGTGGTCAGAGACAGCAGGCTGGTCCTGCTGAAGAATAAATCAAATCTACCAATTGGATTTAATATGTGCCGTTTTTTGGTTCGCCCAATTAAAATCCATTAAAAAAAAAACTATATACAATCAAATAATTCAAAAATTTTAATTTAACAAATTAAGGATAATAAAAAAATTATAATCAGAGATAAAAAGGTCACCGGGTAAAGCCCAAAAGGCCCAACTAATATCCATTGGGATCCAGCAAAATAAAAAGGAAAATGAACAGTTATTTTTTTTCTAAACCAAAATTGGTTTTCTCTTTCTTTTGTCTAACAGTGGCCTTTATTTAACAGACGCACTCCACTGCTAACGTTGCTTTCGTCCTACTCCAAAAATAAGCTTCTTCTTATGGACTAAAACCTTTGAGAAAGAAGAAGAAGAAGAAGAAGAAGAAGAGAGAATAACTATTCCTTCCTTCTTCGCCAAGTTCTCTGAGCTAGAGAAGAAGGAGGGATTTCTTCTTCACTCTTTTGACCGCCATTGTTTCTCACCTTCTTTGCTTGAGATTTTTCGCCGCAATTTGCTCACTTACTGACAAAAGTCAAGTCTCTCTCTCTCTTTGGAGGCTCAATTAGGGTTTTGTTGCTGTGAGATTTGATTACGCAAATTGCTGAATTTGGTTTCGATTATTGGCGTGAGACGGTGTTGTTTTTGAAGATTTCCAGTGAGTTTCCGTTTATGGATCTGACTGGAGGATTTGGAGCTAGATCCGGCGGTATTGGACCGTGCCGGGAACCAATAGGTCTTGAATCGCTACATCTCGGTGACGAATTTCGGCAACTAGTGACGACGTTACCTCCTGAGAACGCCGGCGGCTCTTTCACGGCTTTGCTTGAGCTTCCGCCTACACAAGCAGTGGAGCTTCTTCATTTTACTGATTCTTCGTCTTCTCAAGTGGCGGCTGTGACAGGAATCGGTGGAGAGAATGCTCCACCGCTTCACTCTTTCGGTGGGACATTGGCTTTTCCTTCTAACTCAGTTCTCATGGAGCGAGCAGCTCGTTTCTCGGTGATTGCCACTGAACAACAAAACGGAAATGTCTCCGGGGAGACTCCGACGAGCTCTGTACCTTCCAATTCCAGCGCTAATCTCGACAGAGTCAAGACCGAGCCTGCTGAGACCGATTCATCTCAGCGGTTGATTTCTGATTCAGCGATTGAGAATCAAATCCCTTGCCCTAGCCAGAACAATCGAAATGGGAAGAGGAAAGATTTCGAAAAGAAGGTGAGAGTGAGAGACAAATGGTTTTACTTTTACATTTTGATTCTTGGTTTGATGAATCCCTAAATTTTTTAGGTTAAAAGCTCGACGAAGAAGAACAAAAGCTCCGAAGAGAACGAGAAGCTGCCATATGTTCACGTTAGAGCTCGTCGTGGTCAAGCAACCGATAGCCATAGCTTAGCAGAACGAGTAACTTGCATCTCTCTCACAGATTTCACTAATTTTTCTTTTTTGGTGTTAATCAGTTGATTAAGTCGCTAATTGATCACTAATTTTTGGATTACAGGCAAGAAGGGAGAAGATAAATGCACGAATGAAGCTGCTACAGGAACTGGTCCCAGGCTGTGATAAGGTTTGTCTCTCAGATTTAGACGTGTATTCAATTTGTTAATCAATCATTAGGTCTTCATTTGTGCTTAACGACATGATATTTCTTTAATTGATTCACTCAAAAAGTAAGAATTTATTATTAGATGATCTTGGTTTTTGTTAAGGGTCTTAATCCTTCACACCTACTTTTTTTTTTTCCCCAAAACGTGGATTGCTTAATTCCTTTTTTATTAAGAAAAGTGGTTTCTGGTGTGCCAAAGTAGCCAGTTGGGTAATTGTGTAGTAATAATGCCTTTAGAGATCTCAACTTTATTTTTTTATTTCGTGTGGGGAGAAATATCTCACGGGTACACTTAGCTTTAAGGTTAACTCAGTCACACGGAAGTGATAGGACCTAGCTTTATCGAATTCTTTTTTCCATAAGTGTGTTCATTGAGCTTGAAGATTAGTCTGTAAATGACAAGAATGACCTTAGGAAGTGGGGATGCTAGCTGTAATGTGCCATTAAGGTTTTGGGTTTAGGGGACAGATTTTGGTGGAAAGATCAAGATCAAAGTGTGTTTTGGGGTCCATCTTTTGATGATAAGTGGGAAAAAAGCTGTAAACTTTCTATGGAAGGTGAGGAAGGGGTAGTATCGTCTCTAACAAGTTCGGTATCTATCAAGGATAAAAAGACAATGACTCTTAGAAGGACGATTAAAGCAAATGATCCTTTACAAAAATTGATATGCTTTGAGTCCCACATACCTAATTAGTTGGAAACATGATGTGACACTCCCCCAGACAGCTAATTAATCATCCCTGATGTTAGAAGTTAGCAGCAATTATTGGTGTGATGGAGATGATGATAAGGAACATCAGTGTGTGTAAAAAAATTGGATTCTATAGGTGAGCTGTGAGGACTTGATTGATTGTTCCTTTAACCCCCTAGGGTATACTGATTACTTGTGATTGTAGTTATGTAGTAGATACCATTTATAATAGCTTTAGATTAACACGTCATTCTCTTGCTGCTTCTTTCACTGTGTAATTTGAAATCCTGGTGTTTTCTCGTTGAAATATTGCATCATCTTAACAATAGTTAGCTGCATAGGAACTACTTTTGGTGTGTGAAAGCAGATCTACCTAATATGAATCCTAAGCTTATCAGAAAGTCTTTGACCTGCAGATTCAAGGTACCGCGCTGGTGCTGGATGAAATCATTAACCATGTCCAGTCATTACAACGTCAAGTGGAGGTGAGACTTTCCGTGGTCCAATTTTTGTTCTTTATACCTATATTGTACCATTACCTTAGGCAGAACCAAAAGGTCAACTCAAAACAGTTTGAAAATGAATAGAATTGTGTGCCACAATCTCATGAAACTATGACTTGTGTTTCCACAGATGCTATCAATGAGACTTGCTGCGGTAAACCCCAGAATCGACTTCAATCTCGACACCATATTGGCTTCAGAAGTAAGTATCAAAATCTCAAACAATACTTAGGTCCTTGTGAGATTAGCCTTCTTCAGGAAAAAGTAACCATTTCATGTGTTTCTCATTTAAGTAAACCATACCTCTTTGAGTAGCTTCTAGTTTCTATCACAAAAGGAGAAACTTTTGGGTATTTATTGATACAAACATTAATTTAGACCATTTTAGTGTAAGGCATAGGAAGAGCACAACGTCTACTCTCATGAAGGAAACTCAGGGAAAAAATAAATACACAACACACACAAAGAGCTTAGTGGGTCAAAACTCGGACCACCTTTGTTCTGTAAACCTTTCTGTGTCTTCTGTGACTTATGTCGGATGTGTTATTTGATGAAGCTTTTTTTAAAAAAACGTATTTCATCACTCATTAATTTCTGTGGGTCTCTTCCAAAATCTTGTTATTTCAAAGTGACCTATCTAATTTCATGATCACCTGTGGATTCTCATCAAAAGTTTTGGACCAAAGTAAATAAATGCTCTATCTCTCTTTCTTCTTACAGCTTGTACCACCATTAAATAGCCAGGGACCCTCTCATTATACCTTGTTCTTTTAGGATAATAATAACACAGCAACAACAGTTGACTTCTTTGACTAGATCAAGATCTCTATGAATGATCCCTTAGCTGATATCTTTTCCGGTTTTGGCTCTGTTTTTTTTCCTACACAGAATGGTTCTTTAATGGATGGGAGCTTCAATGGCACACCAATGCAGCTTGCTTGGCCTCATCAAGCCATTGAGACCGAACAGTCCTTTCATCACCGGCAACTGCCACCACCACCAACACAACAGTGGCCTTTTGACGGCTTGAACCAGCCGGTATGGGGAAGAGAAGAGGATCAAGCTGATGGCAATGATAACAGCAATTTGATGGCGGTTTCTGAAAATGTAATGGTGGCTTCTGCTAATTTGCACCCAAATCAGGTCAAAATGGAGCTGTAAGTTGGGAAAACAGTAGAGATCATGAATGTGTATATATATCGTATAAGCCCGTTTCTCTATATATAATTATAATCATAAATATATAAGCATTAGATATCTGTTAAGAAGGTATCAGTCATTTGATTCAGAGAGACAAAACTGGTAATGATTATTTCTTATTTTTACCAGATTTCCACAATGTAGAATTTAGTAGAATATGATCATTTTGATCTTGTTATATATCTTACTAATAATAAATAGAGATAAAAATCATATTTAGGGAATAATAATTATATTTATCATTAACAAAAGCAAAATTCAATATAGCTTAGGTTAGGTAACAAAAATCCCTAAAACGACTCATCCGATCAGAACATATATGCAATCATAAATATAAGTGCAAAGCCGTTATTGGAAGAAAAACAAACCCTAAGTCTAATATAAGCTTGAATCATGGAAAGAAAACCGGAAGAGAAACGCAAAAGAGCATGCCATGGAAAGAAGAAGAGTAATGATATTGAACAACTACCAAATGTTCTTATAGAAGAGATCTTAGAGAGAATTGGTGCAGAATCTCTTATAAGATTCACATCCGTTTCGAAGTAATGGAACTCGATGATCAAATCAACATCTTTTGCGTCGAGACATCTAATCCGAGCGCAGTCACAAAATCCGAGTATCCTTCTTGCCGGTGCCCGCGCTTGGAATGAACCATATCCATTTTGTTATCTTAAGAAAGTGGAGTTAGGATCTTCAGAATTGAAAGAGGCTCATATTATGCCCAATCCCTATGAATGTTGTGTAATTACCGGAAGCTGTGATGGTCTTGTTTGCGTCTACGGTATTGAAAGATTGATGTGTATCATCAATCCGGCCACTAGATGATTTCGATCTTTTCCTCGGCCTAAGATTTAAAAAATTAACCGCCTTAGACGAATTCTGGACGGCAGTAAGTTTCACTTTTTAATTCTTTTGTTGTATGTTACTAATATTTCCGAAGTAATTATTTTTGTTTTTTACTCTCTCATAGGTTATCGCGCATCAAGCTATCCAGGATTCGGTAAAGACACTATGACAGGCAAGTACAAGATCGTATGGTTATATAACTCTTCAGAACTAGGCCTAGATGGCCATACAACATGCGAGGTTTTTGATTTTAGTACTAATAGTTGGAGAAATGTGACTGGCTCTACACATCGCATTTGTGAGTTTCCTGTATATTTAGATGGATCACTTCATTGGTTGACTCTCGAATTGAATGGAGGAAAAACTAAGATAATACGTTTCGATCTTCACACAGAAGTTTTTGAAGTAGTGGTCGAAATTCGGACTGCCCATCCATCTCCTTGTTGGCCTAATATGCACAGTCTGAATAATCGTCTTTGCGTAGTGGAACAGAAAACCAACTGTGAAGAAATATGGTCACTGAATTCACACAAGGTATGGGAGAAGACATACAGTATAAATCTAAGCAACACTTCTCCTTGGTTTGGGAACTCATTGGGTCTAATAAGACCGGTGACAGTTTTCAACAAAACAGAGTTACTATTTCGTTACAGATATATCGATTATCCTTGTTTATTGGTACAAGATACTAGAACGGGTTCTTGTTCTTTATATTCCAAAGCTACTCAATTGGATCAAGTTATTTCTTATATTCCAAGCTTGATCGCTATTTAGTTGAAGATCTTTTACTTTGTTTTTCATTTTTTTTGTCAACGAAATAAAGTCGGTTTTTCATTTTCATTTTATTTGCAGAAGTTGAAGTGACATGTATATAAACCTTATTGATTATATATATTTAATAATATTTTTGATACATATTGAGAACATATATCGAAGTGACATGTATCAAAAGAGAGATCTGGAGTTCTAGTTTCAGTTGTTATCATTGGATAAGATTATTGAGAAAAAATTAAAAATATGGGAAGCATATTATTGATACTATTATTCTTCTCTCTCGTCCAATCACGTTCGTACACGTCATATTCGAAAATCCAACTTCCCGGCGATTCTCTGGCTCTTTCCGTTACCGATTTCGGCGCTACCGGCGATGGTATCAACTACGATACTTCTGCGGTACAGTCCACCATTGACGCCTGCAATCGTCACTACACATCGTCTTCTTCCATCTGCCGCGTCACTTTCCCTTCCGGCAACTATTTGACAGCTAAGCTCCATCTCCGATCTGGTGTTGTTCTCGATGTGACGGAGAACGCTGTGCTTCTCGGGGGACCGAGAATCGAGGATTATTATCCGGCGGAGACTTCTTCGGATTGGTACGTGGTGGTGGCGAACAACGCGACGGACGTTGGAATTACCGGCGGAGGAGCGATTGATGGCCAGGGATCGAAGTTCGTGGTCAGATTCGACGAGAAGAAGAACGTGATGGTGAGCTGGAACCAAACCGGAGCTTGCTTGGGTGATGAGTGTAGACCTAGACTTGTTGGATTCGTTGATTCTAGAAACGTTGAGATCTGGAACATCACATTACGAGAGCCTGCGTATTGGTGGTTAGTTTTGAAAACTCTGCTTTACATAAGAACTCTATGAACATATTTGACTCTGTTTCACTATCTTAGATCGAAGATAAGTAAGTCTAGCTGAGAATTTAGGCTTCTGTGATTGTTCAATGCTTAAAATAGTTCCAAGTAATCTCAAGATTGAATGAATCTCTGGTTTGATCTTCTATACACATTCATTGCAGCTTGCACATTGTGAGGTGTGAGAACACATCAGTCCACGATGTATCGATCCTAGGGGACTTCAATACTCCAAATAACGATGGAATCGACATTGAGGACTCAAACAACACTGTTATAACTCGGTGTCACATTGACACAGGAGATGATGCAATATGTCCCAAGACTTATACTGGTCCGCTTTACAACTTAACCGCTACAGACTGTTGGATCCGAACCAAATCCTCAGCCATTAAACTCGGTAGCGCGAGCTGGTTTGACTTCAAAGGTCTTGTCTTTGATAACATCACCATTTTTGAATCTCACAGAGGCCTTGGCATGCAAATACGCGATGGAGGTATAAAGTTTCTTCTTTTCTTTAGCTACTACATACAACACATAAACTTATGTAATGTAACCCCAATATGTGCCCTTTTGCAGGAAATGTGAGTGACATTACATTTTCAAACATAAACATTAGTACAAGATACTACGATCCTTCTTGGTGGGGACGCGCAGAACCAATCTATATAACAACTTGCCCGCGTGACTCATCTGCAAAGGAAGGATCAATCTCGAATCTCCTATTTGTAAACATAACAATCAATTCCGAAAACGGAGTCTTTTTATCGGGTTCACCAAATGGACTACTCTCAGATATAAAGTTCAAAAACATGAACCTTACTGTCAGAAGATGGAGTAATTATAGTGCAGGGCTTGTGGATTATAGACCTGGATGTCGAGGTCTCGTGAATCATAGCGCCACGGCTGGGATCATAATGGAACATGTGAACGGGTTTAGCATTGAGAATGTTGACCTGAAATGGTCAGATGATCTGAATTCTGGGTGGAATGTTCCTCTCGAATTTAGACCTTCCACCGTGAATAATGTCTCGTTTGTTGGTTTCAATTCTGGTCTTTTACACGAGATTGTTTGAGTTTGATTACTACGTTTTGGTTGGTGAACACAAGATTGCATGAATCATTATGTTTGGCTTAGTAGAAGATTTGGATTCTTATTTCTTTGTGTGAAACAGAGAATTTGGTTTTGTTCTCTCCAAAACGACAACGTATTTGTGATCACGAGTTTTCTCAACGACGTCGTTTCACAAGTAATTGTAGGTTTTCACACACTCGCGGTTTATTTTCGTCTAATCAAAATCTCTCATAGAGTGAAATCGGAATCACAGAAATGGCGTCGACGAAGCCATTGATCGTCGCAGCGAAGACGCTCCGAAACCGGATCCACTTCCGATCTGGATCCACATCTGCTGGTCCAAGCCGCTGGGCGACACCAGGTCACGAAGAACGACCCAAAGGATATTTCATGAACCGGACTCCGCCGCCGCCGGGACAGTCGCGCAAGTGGGAAGATTGGGAGCTTCCATGTTACATCACAAGCTTTCTCACGATTGTTATCCTCGGTGTGGGTCTCAATGCCAAACCCGATCTTTCAATCGAGACCTGGGCTCACCAGAAAGCTCTCGAGCGCCTCGAAATGGAGAAACTTGCGTCTGTTGGAGATTCTTCCGATTAATCCATGATTTTGGGATAGTGGCTATGATTCGATGGATGATTCGGTATGTCTGTGTGTGTTTTTTTCCCGGGGATTTGGGATTTGAGGAGATTTTTCCCGTTTATGATGATGATCACGAATACTAGTGACCTAGGGTTAAATTTTGTTTCCCCTCTCCTCTTCCTTTTTCATTGTTAGTGTTGATAAATATGTTCATGAAATAAGTCATCTTTAACTCTCTACGTAACTGAATGCTATGGTTATGATTATATCATTTTTTCAGGGCAGTGATATGTTTTTGCTGATTGTATGATTCATTTGATTAGGGTCTGGTTTGTTTCTCTTCTTTGTGAATTTTAGTTTCTTATCTTATAACTCTCTGCAGTTAACATATCGAGATTCCGGTTTCAACTAGCTGGTGTAGTATAGCTCTGGTTAGGGAAAGTCTCTCTATTTTGTTTTCAAGTTATGAAGCCTGAGACGGTTCATCACTATAGCTTAAGAGTGAAGATTCTAGCATGTATACTCATCGAATTAGGAAATCAGATGAGGAACTTTAGGATGTTACACACTGGATTCATGTGGTGCTATTTCCAAACATAATGGGGGTTAATTGAAGCTGTGAATGATTACTTAAGTGTGCTTTCCATTTAGAACCATATGTGAGTTGATGTGTGTATTGAATTGCAAAATCATTTACTAATACCAAGTGAGAGAACATGAGAGTGATGATATCGATTTTTTGGAAAAGAGATTTTGATGAATACTTGGATAAGATTAGGGAGAGAGAGATGCAAGAGAATGACACGCATGTAAGTAGTTGAAGTTTGAGAACATAACATTCTAGATTATGTATGCTGATTCAGGTGAATTAGATGTAGAAACAGATATTGCCACTTTTGAAGATTACTGCTCGTCTGATGTAGAAAGAAAAATGTGAGAATCTTCTAGGTAACCTTAGGTTCTGTGTTGGATTCCTAAATCGACTGCTGAACATGGTGGGCTATTCTTAGTATAGCTTGATCTTTTCGTCTCATTTTGGTTGTTTGGATTCTTACTCTGTCTCGCTCTCTCCCAATGAGTATAGAATTCTGAAATCCCTTTGTTCAATCATAGCTAATCCGAAATCGATATCTGATATCCCTACCACACTTGCATGATTTGACCAAATTGGCTCAACTGAAAAAGTGATTGAGCATCGATTTAGTTGAATGTTTGTTGGCCGTTTTCGAATAGTGAACGGTAAAACTGGCAGGTGTAATTATTGCTGCTGCTACCTGCATTGATATTTCGTAAATCGTTTGCATCCATCTAGTTCCAAAATCACTATTTGCATTATGTCGGTATGGTATGCTCACATTAAGTGCTTTTTGTCGTTTCATATTATATGTTTATAAGAAAAAATTTTGCTTTAATTATCTTCTAGCTGTATCTTTATAAGTTAACATTATCTCTTGTGATCTACCATCCTTAGCTTGGCCATACACTCCTCTTCCCTTGTCCACAATAATTTCTTTTTAAAACCTTTTAAATAAACGATGACAGCTTGTTCACAGATAAGATTAACAATCATCCCAAAATAAAAAACAAGAGTTCTGCTTCTCTATCCTTTTTTTATTACTAATTTACTACTGCACAACATCATATGGCCATTGCAAAAAAAATCTTATTCTGCCTTTTTTTTTTTCTCAAAAAAAAAAAAAAAAAAAAGGCAGAATAAGATTTTTTTTTGTGTAAAAGCAAAATCATAGTTACTGTTTACAAGTGGGGAAGGCAAATAAGATCTGAAGGACGAAAGTGAAAGTGACAATACGGTCATCATTACTCTGACTTTTAAAGTAAACGAGTACAATGTGACTGGCGACTCCCGGTAAACACTTGAACCACCGACAAAAGCTTCCCGGTTTACATGTAACGGCATCATTCACGACGACCTATCTTCACGGTCCGTACCGTACACGATCCATGTTTTTAAATGCACTCATTTAAATCCTCCACTCATATGATTCTTCTCGTTTTTCTAAAAAAACACACACGAGCCGTAGAAGGAGAAAGATAGTGGCTTTTTTACAGTTTCCAGAATAAAGAAAAAGCTCATTTGATGAACCAAAAAACGGATTTCTTGGTGATCCCGAAGTAAGAAAACCGGTTTCTTGGTGTTGCTCTGTTTCTTCCTCCAGATTCTCAGGCACTCGTAAATTCAACTTTTTTATATACCTTTCCACTATTTTTCATATATAGAAGATCAAAATCATTCTTGTGAATATAAGTGAATGCACTCGTTTCTATTAGCAATTTTAGGTAATTGTGAGAATTTTACTGATTGCTTATGTGGGGACTTGCCTTTTTTAGTATTAAAAATGTAAATCATTTTTTTTTCTTTTCATGTAGATTGAAACGAACCATAACAAGTGTCTTTAATGTTGTCGTTTTCCTTTTTTCATATCTAATTTGCCTTGGATTTCAGGAATATACGCAACAGCGTTTTTTGTCATTTTCCTCTGTTTCAGACTATTGATCACAGCTGTTCTTTTTTTCAGGCTTTACTTGAAAGTTGTTAAGTAACTGTTGCTTTGGCTGCAATGGAGGAAAACTGAAAATAGTTTGATGATGAAGGAACGAACAACCAACAGTATGCAGTTGAATCGGTCTACGAAGAATGGGAAAAGAGATCAAAAGCCACAGAAGACGAATGGTGCTAAAAGATCTTCAGAGCAAGAAAGACTCAAAGCTTTTAAAGAAGAATCTAACGTCCCAGTAGTAGTAGATGATACAACTACACATTCAAAGCTCTCTGATGATGGTGATCATGCAGTGAACGAGTCTTCAGTTACTCATCAAGAGTCCGAGTCTGGTAGAATTTCAGAGAAAACTGAGAAGGAAGAGAGTGTAAATGGCTTGGCCTGTGATGATGAAGAGGAGGAGGAGAAGGACGAAAGCAAAGACTTTGATGCTATAGCTCATGAAAAGACAGATTCTGTATCTTATTATGAAACTTGCAAAGGTGTCAATGTTGATAAGGCAGTCGAAGTTTGGGATGATGCTTCAAATGGTGGTCTAAGCGGTGGAAGTGAAAACGAGGCAGGTGATGTTAAAGAGAAAAGTGAGAAACTTGAGGAGGAAGAAGAAGCATTGAAACAAAAGGTTGAGGATTTGGAGACAAGAGTTGAGAAACTTGAAGAAGAGCTAAGAGAAGTTGCAGCGCTCGAGATTTCGCTCTATTCGGTTGTACCAGACCACTCTAGCTCAGAGCACAAGCTTCACACACCTGCTCGGAGAATTTCAAGACTCTATATCCATGCTTGTAAACATTGGAGTCAAAGAAAGCAAGCAACTGTCGCTAGAAACTCCGTGTCTGGTCTCATTTTAGCTTCTAAATCTTGTGGAAATGATGTTTCCAGGTAACATAAACACAATTTAACATTATGAGTGTAGTAGCTTTTAGGAACTTGAGCTTCTCAGTTTTTTCTTGGTTCCTTATATTTCAGGTTGACCTTCTGGTTATCAAACATCATTGCTTTGAGAGAGATCATTTTGCAGGCATTTGGTAAAACTAGTGTTCCTAGTCATGTCAGAGAGACCTCTGAATCAAATGGGAGTGAAAACAATGGTTTAGGGAAGCTAAAAAGGAAGAAGAACCAATGGAATAAGCAGTCAAATGGTTTCAAGCAGGTTTTAGAAGATTGGCAGGAACCAGAAACCTTCACTGCCGCATTAGAGAAAGTCGAATTCTGGATTTTCTCTAGAATCGTTGAATCTGTTTGGTGGCAGGTAATATTTTAAGAAAGAATCTTTTTTTCACTGAAACTTTAAGAAAGATTCATTCTTTAAGGCATCTCAAATTTGCTCTTATTCTCTTCTATCTCTCAGGTTTTCACTCCTCACATGCAATCCCTGGAAAATGGCGGTAATACGAATGAGAAACTAATGGGACCTGTCTTGGGAGATAATGAGCAAGGAAGCTTTTCAATCAGCCTATGGAAAAACGCTTTCAAAGTTGCTCTAACGCGGCTCTGTCCTATGCGTGGAGCAGGGCACGAGTGCGGTTGTTTACCTACCTTGGCTAAAATGGTATTCAGATTCTACATTTTAAAGCTCAAGCCAATAGCATTATGTAAAAGCTATTGGAATCTTAACTTCTATATACATTCTCTCCATACTATGTAACAGGTAATGGAGAAGTGTATATCTCGAATTGACTTAGCCATGTTCAACGCAATTCTACGTGAGTCAGAGCATCAGATTCCCACGGATCCTGTCTCAGATCCTATCCTAGATTCCAAAGTTCTGCCTATACTTGCTGGAAACTTAAGCTTTGGATCCGGGGCACAGCTTAAAAATGCGGTACATAATCAAGAAACGTGATCAGATTGTTATATGCACTGAACATGAGAAAGTACTAATGTTCTTGAATGTTGTGATTTCTTGCTTGTAGATTGGCAATTGGTCAAGATGCCTCGCTGAAATGTTCTCCATAAACACTAGAGATTCAGTAGAAGAAAATGATTCAATAGAAAGTGAGAAATCTTTCAGTTTGCTAAACGAACTCAGCGATCTACTTATGCTCCCAAAAGACATGCTTATGGACCGATCCACAAGAGAAGAGGTTTTGTTATCTTTATCAGTTTTAAGTTCTTGATTAAAGTTTCTTGATCACAGAACCTTTTTCTTGATTGATTCATAGGTATGCCCATCGATAAGTCTTCCGTTGATCAAAAGAATACTCTGTAACTTTACACCTGATGAGTTTTGTCCTGATGATGTCCCTGGTGCTGTCCTAGAAGAGCTTAATAACGAGGTAACAAATTTATATCCTTCATTCATTTGTTCTCTGCTTAGCACTCACTATACTTTTTTTTGTTGTTTCTCATCAGAGCATTTCAGAGCAGAAGGTATCAGGAGTTAGCTTCCCTTACGCAGCTTCTCCTGTTTCATACAATCCTCCATCATCACTCAATGTAGCAGAGAAAGTTCCAGAGGTAGGAGATATCTCTAGAATATCGAGGAATGTATCTATGATACAAAGAAAAGGATACACAAGCGATGAGGAGCTGGAGGAACTAGATTCTCCGCTTACATCCATCATCGAAAACGTATCGTTGTCACCAATTTCCGTACAGAGCAGGAATGTGAAGCAGGAAACTGAGCATATAGGTGCAGTGGTAGCAAATGCAAGATATGAGCTTCTTAGGGAAGCGTGGTCTATGTGAGTGATTGGCAGCCAAATGTTTAGGGTACCAACTACTGAAACAAACTAAGTCTTTGAAGTTATATGTAGCCGTAAGTGTTTTATCAGATGAGTATGCTCCTAGAGGATTGTATTTAGTGTCTGAAGAGGCAATCAACTCTTTTAACAACAAGCTACCTTTCTCCTGGAAATTTTCTTGTGTTTCTTTATTGTTTCTTTGTCCTCAAGAAACCATCAAGCTTCTAACTTCCTTCTTCTGACATGTTGTTACGTTAGAATTTGAATCTAGCTATAATGTCAAATTGAGACCAATAAAGGGATTATATCATAAACAGAATCTGAGCACAAATCGATGGAAACACTCAGTAGTCAGTACTCTGCAAAAGAGATGGTGAATCACATTGGAGGAAGAAAGAACAGAACCTAAATCTTGGAACTGCTCTGACAACATAAACTTACCACCAGGATTCAAAATGAAACATAAGTACAGCTCAGACTGTTCAAGTGCCCTAATTCAAGCCTAGTGAACTCTATGGAATCAGCATCAATTCCCAGAGAAGAAAATGTTCCTCCGTTTTTGCTTTGAAGATTCTTTCTTAAGTTTCCATCTTTCTTCTTCTGGGTTTACATAGTTCTGTGATCAATGGCAAAGAACACAGAGAGAACAAAGATGCGTAGAAAGATAATATTATCGTATTGTTTTGTATTGATTGTTCATATGTAATTTGATTAAAGAAGAAATATGCGTAAGGGAAGATTTGAGAGAATTTTCCTAGAGTCCCACATCGATAAGTTAGAGAGCGTTGGTCATAAGCTTTGTTATATAAATAAGAAGCCGAGCCCAACGTTCAAATCATACCTTTCTCGGCCTTTTGGCTAAGATCAAGTGTAGTATCTGTTCTTATCAGTTTAATATCTGATATGTGGGTCATCGGCCCACACGATATTAACTCTATTTTTTAAGGGAGGAAGCCCACTAAGATAGCTTGCTATCTGGGCTTTCGCGAGTCGCCCATGCGTTGCACTACTGCACGGACCTGGCTCAACCCGCCAAACTACTAGTTAAAGTTTTGAGATCTCAGACTCTTTAAAAGTTTGGGTCGGTAAGTCTTATAAGATAAGTAAATCTGTGATTCTTTCTGTATTTATCTGTGACATTGTCTATCTCTCTTTGTGGTAAATATGTAGGTATCAGAAATTAGCTACTTCTGAAGTAAATCTTTGAACTTTTGTTTGTCTCTGGGTAAAAATCTGAATGGTAGTTGTTCGATTTTCCTCTGATTCTGCTCGTATCAGACTGCAGCCACAATGGCATTGGCTGGCTATGAAATATGGCTAAAAAAAGAATCTTCAATCAAATTGTGTCATGTGAATCTCATCTGCGATCTACGGTTTGATGGATAATCATCAGGATGCCATGTTTATGAATCTGTTTTACCAGGCTAGCAGAAACTACGTTATATCAATGTTGATGTCTATAGGTTTTGTTAGTTAAACATTGCTATACTATACTATCACTGAGATGCTGTAAGAAGAAAAATGAAGACAGGCCAAAGATGATCGAAGTAGCTTAAGGAGCTCAAAGTGAATTCAGATATCACATTTTGAGATCCTCTGTTCTGATATTTATAGACTCTACAAAAGTTTTATTACATTTGCTTGGATTATGTGAAGCTTGGTTTATGAATTATGAAATTCAGATTCTTACATTATGAATTATGAAATTCAGATTCTTACATACAACATATATCGTAAAGAGTGTATAATAATAGATAGATCTGATCAGTCTCACCAGGTTTGCGGTCAGGTCTGGTTTTCTATCCGCTTGAGTTCTTTTGCAACATCTATCATATGAAGCTTGGTTTCTTCTGGTCTGAATCTAACACATCTCAAAGCAAGTTCAACAAATGCTTCCATTTGCAGTTTTGAATGATCAGGAATGTCGTCATCCGCACTGTTTAACATCGATGGGTCTATCAGTTTAGCTAACGGTCCTCGCCCCAAACACTTCTCAACATAATCAGGCAACATAATCATGTTATAACTGTCACCATTAGCCGGTTCTTGATAGATTCCGTGCTTTCCTGTCAAAAGACTTAGCATGATGAACCCAAGGTTATAGATGTCAACATTCTCAGTGACAAAACCTGTTCTCATATACTGGGGCTCCGCAAAGCCTTGTGTCCCGCAAACCATGTCATATACACCCGACTCTCCCTCTGGAATTGGTAAGCTAAGGCTGAAAGAAGAGAGCTTAGCAGTCCAGTTTATTGAATTAAGAACTAAGGACCAAAACCTAATGATCAAGACTTTGTGTTTATAAGAACAACTCTTCTTATTACCTTTGAAACTTACTCAAAACAAAGGTTTACACAATCTCTCTTAATCTCAAAACAACTCATAGGGTTACCACAAACTAGGTACCTCTATTTATACAAAACCAAAAGTCCTAAACACACTAGGATTTGATAACTCCTAACCTAGCTAAATCTTATCCCAAATCTATTAACTAAACCGACTTATTTAGTTTAATCTTGGGCCTTAAGTCTTCTTAAGGTTTATCAAGTTTGCACAACATTCTCCCCTTCAAACTTGATATCTCCAATCTCCACATCATGAACACCTGTAAGTTCCCTCATTTCTTTGAACTTAATCCGTCCCAATGCCTTAGTTAAAATGTCTGCCTTTTGTGCATCCCCGGGAACATGTTCTAGCTCAATTTGATCATTCTCAACACATTCCCTAATAAAATGATACCTTTTATGAATATGTTTACTTCTGCCGTGAAACACAGGATTCTTGGCAAGTGCTATAGCGGATTTGTTATCTATCCGGAGTAATACTTTGTCACATGTTTCTCCCATAACCTCACTCAGAAGATCCTGCAACCATATCGCCTGTTTTGCTGCTTCTGTTGCAGCCATGAATTCTGCTTCGCAAGATGATAAGGCTACTGTGTTCTGTTTCTGCGTACACCATGTAATAGGACAATTATGTAGATAGAAAATGTGGCCTGTAGTGCTTCTACCATCGTCCTCATCTACATTATGACTGCTATCACTATAGCCTAGGAGTCTTGTTTCAGGTTTAGGTTCTGTCTTTCTAGCAAATGTTAAACCATAACCTGTTGTTCCTTTCAAATATCTGAGAATTTGCTTGAGTGCTGTACCATGAGATTCTTTGGGCTCATGCATGTATCTGCTTAATACACCAACACAAAAGGAGAGATCTGGCCTAGTATGTAGCAAGTATCTCAAACATCCAATACTTCTCCTATACTCTGTTTCATCAATATTTTTTTCCTCTGATGCCTTGCTTAGTTTCAGATTTGCATTCATTGGTGAGTGAACCGCATTACATCCTTCCATTCTGGTTTCACTTAGTATCTTTGATGCATACCTCTCTTGTTTCAGAGTAATGCCTCCTGCATGTTGATGTACCTCTATACCTAGATAATAAGTCAATTTTCCCAAATCGCTCATTTCAAACTTTGTTGCCATGCCCCTTTTAAACTCAAGTATCACATCCAAGTTTGAACCCGTGATTAACAGATCATCTACATACACAACAACAATGAGAAGATGATCTTTATCCTGTTTATGGTATAAGGATGGTTCTTTAGAACATTTGATAAACTTCAATTCCTTAAGAATAGAGTTTAGCTTATTGTTCCAAGCTCTTGGAGCTTGTTTTAAACCATATAGAGCCTTATGTAATTTGTAAACCTTGGTTTCACTCCCTTTTATCTCAAATCCCTCTGGCTGTACAACAAACACAACTTCTTTCAACTCTCCATGGAGAAATGCAGTCTTTACATCTAAGTGATGAACCTCCCATCCATTTGACGCAGCTAAAGCAAGGATAAACCTAATAGTCTCAATGCGTGCTACTGGTGCAAACACTTCTTCAAAGTCAACTCCATATCTTTGAACATATCCTTTTGCCACAAGGCGTGCCTTGTATTTGTTTATGCTTCCATCAGAGTTGCGTTTTATTTTAAAAACCCATTTTAGACCAATTGCTTTTGCTCCCTTTGGAAGATCTACTAGACTCCAAGTTTTGTTCTTGTTTATTGAACTGATTTCCTCATCACAAGCATCTCTCCATTCTTTTAACTCCTTTGCTTCTTTATAATCCCATGGTTCTTCATTTAATGTTAGCAAGAGATGCTCAATTATTTCATATTCAGCTTCAGCTAAGAGTACATAGTCATTTAGATACCCTGGTTTATGGCTCTGTCTCTCAGATCGTCTTAAGGCTGGTTGCATTGGGGCCTGTTCTTGGTTTTCAGTTTCTTCTAAAGATGTTTCAGAAGTATTTTCAGAAAAATCATTCTCTTTATCTAAAGCTTCATTAGTATTTTCATTTTCTTCTACTCCTGTTTCTTCTGTTCTGTTTTCTGTTTCTGAAGCTTCTTCTCTTAGACCATGATTTCCGTATTCTCCAAGTCTGAGTTTGAACATTCCAGGAACATTATCACTCTCATCTTTTCCTGAATGATTCCAATTCCAACTTCTTTTCTCATCAAAGACTACGTCTCTACTTACCACAATTCTCCTTTTTGCTGGATCCAATAATCTATACGCTTTGGATCCGGGTTCTGTTCCAAGATGGACTAAAGCTTTTGATCGGTCATCAAGTTTCTTCAAGTGCTGTGTTTCAGTCTTTGCATAACAAATACATCCGAATACTTTCAAATGTATGATGTTTGGTTTCTTTCCTTTAAATGCTTCATATGGAGTTTTATCTTTTAAAGTTCTTGTTGCCACTCTGTTTATGAGGTAAGTAGCATGTCTCACTGCCTCTCCCCATAAATGATTCGGCATTTTCATATGCTTTAGAATGCTCCTAGTCATCTCAAGTAAAGTTCTATTCCTTCTTTCTACTACACCATTCTGTTGTGGTGAGTATGGAGCTGTTAAATGTCTCTGAATACCTGAATTATCACAGAAACTTTGAAATTCATGAGAGGTAAATTCTCCACCTCTATCAGTTCTGAACGTCTTTATTCTTGTTCCAGTGTCCTGCTCGATTAGAACTTTGAATTTTTTAAATTTTTCAAATGCTTCACTTTTCTCCTTCAGAAGCAATGACCACATATATCTGGAGTAATCATCTATTAGTACAAAGATATACTTGTTTTGTGCGGCTGTGGAGGGTGTAATTGGTCCACACAAGTCTCCATGTATGAGTTCCAATATGTGTGAAGCTCTGTATGATGTAGCCTGAGGAAAGCTTTGTCTTACTTGTTTTCCTAGTAAGCATGAAGAACATGTTTCCTTTTCAACTGTTATACTAGGTAAACCAATGACTAACTCTTTACTTATCATAGACTTCATAGTATCTAACCCTATGTGTCCTAATCTTGCATGCCACTTTGCTGAGTCACTAACTTCTTCTATTTGTAAACATTTTGTTGGTTCAACTTTCATAAGAACCTTGTACAGTCTGTTCTTTGATCTCTTAGCATTTACAAGTAGTCTACCTTGTTGGTCATGTATTGTTAGTTGCTCATCTTTCATCCTAATATCACAGCCTGCTTCTGTGGCCTGTCCGAGACTTATGATACTGCTTCTTAGATTAGGTATATAGTACACATCTGCAAGTATTTTTCTTTCACCATCCTTGCTTACAAAGAGAATTGATCCTTTTCCTTTAATATCTATGCATGAATCATCTCCAAATCTCACTTTTCCTGTGATTGTTTCATCAAGTTTAGAGAAATACTCTTTGTTTCCTGTCATGTGGTTGCTTGCACCATTATCTAAATACCAGGTATTGTCACCATCCTTCTGAATCTCAAATTTGTCTGGCTTTACATTTTTTTCGTTTAAGTAGACTATTTCATGCATCATTAGTCTATCAGCTTCTTGAGTTTCGTCTTCATCATTCTCCAGTGTTTCTTGGAGTTTTAGTAGTCTATCAGGACAATTTGAAGCATAGTGTCCACTCTTATCACATCTGTAACATATGACTTTAGTTTTATCTTTTCCTTGTCTAACAGAACCATTCTGTTGAGTACCAAATCGTCCTCTGCCTCTGCCTCTGAAACTAGATCCTCGGCCTCTTCCTGAACCATAGTTTTCTTGATAGGTTTGTGATTCTGAGTTAGCATACATGAGCTTTCCTTGATCATCATGTTGATCTTCTTCATCACATACTCTGTCTTCATATACTTTTAGTCTTCCGACTATTTCTTCAAAACTTGTTGTCTTTAAATCGAGTACTTGTTCAAGAGAAGCAACTATGTGAATGTATTTCTTACGAGGTACACTTTTAAGAAATTTCTTGACAAGTTTTGGTTCCTCAATGCTTTCCCCTAATGTAACTGCTTTTGTTGATATTTCAGAAAGTTTTCCGGCAAATTCTTCTATTGTCTCTGTTTCTTTCATCTTTAGTTTATCGAATTCAGCCATTAGAGTTTGCAATCTTGCTTCTTTTACCCTTTCAGCACCTAGATTTCTTGTTTTGATTGCATTCCAGACTTCTTTTGCAGTTTCATAATCTCCCACTCGAAGAATCATTGCTTCTGGTATAGATTGAAACAAAAGAACCTTAGCCAAATCATTCTTTTCTACATCGTCGTTTCCTGGTTCTATTGTATCCCAAACTTTATGAACCCTAAGTACTCCTCTCATTCGCATGTTCCATGCAGTGTAGTTTGATGTGCTAAGCATCGGGCACTGTATAGAAGAACTAGTCTCCTTGTTCCTAGCTGGAACCGGGATTATATCAGCCATGCTTCACCTTTAACGAACTCTGTTCGTAGCGTGTAAAGCTTTCTTTTAGATCCTAGGTTACTCAATCCAAGAGTATGGCTCTGCTACCAAATATTGAATTAAGAACTAAGGACCAAAACCTAATGATCAAGACTTTGTGTTTATAAGAACAACTCTTCTTATTACCTTTGAAACTTACTCAAAACAAAGGTTTACACAATCTCTCTTAATCTCAAAACAACTCATAGGGTTACCACAAACTAGGTACCTCTATTTATACAAAACCAAAAGTCCTAAACACACTAGGATTTGATAACTCCTAACCTAGCTAAATCTTATCCCAAATCTATTAACTAAACCGACTTATTTAGTTTAATCTTGGGCCTTAAGTCTTCTTAAGGTTTATCAAGTTTGCACAACACAGTTCTCGCCCAAGAAAATATTTGTAAGCTTTAAATCCCTATGGATTATAGTCCTAGGGAATTCAGTATGCAGATACGTTACAGCATCTGCAATCTCCTTGGCGATCCTCAATCTTACATTCCAAGCCAATGGCTTGATTACCAACGCACCTCCAACATAGGCAAGAGCTCCCTTTTCTGGGTATTCACACACGAGAACAGGACGAGGAAACTCTAGACAACACCCTAGAAGCTTGAGAACGTTCTTATGGCTGCTCATCATCGATGAGACTGCTATATCACGGTAGAAATTGTCTGTGTCAAAGTTAAAGGGTTCGTCTTTATAGTACTTGATCAGCACGGTTCTGTTTTGAATCGTACCTTTGTACCACACGAATCTGTCTACACAGATTGCATAGCTCCAGTCAAAGTGATTTGTAGCTTGAAGGATTTGGTGGGAAGAAAACGTACGGATGGGATTGTATTTACCTCCTGACGATGCAATGAGTTCCTCCAACAATAAGCTCCCGTTCTTGTGGAAATTGATCTTCTGTTGTTTCTTCTTCTTTCTCCTTGACGAACACAACATCTTTTAATTCACAAATTGAGGTTAAAGATCGTCTTGTGAAGGAAAAGACGCAAGAAATAATGAAAGAGAGACTCTAGAAAACAAGTCAAGTCAACTTGCTTTGGCTCCGTATTTCTTTCTGTAGGACCATCGTTCCATGTTAATACCTATTGTTTTGTCTCCATGTAAAGAAGAAATATACGTAAGAGAAGACTTGAGAGTTGAGCAGTGGCGGAGCTAGAATTTTCTTTTACCGGGGTCAAAATATAAAATTCATTTTTTAATAAAATAGATGTGATTTTTTTTCAAATTATATTGCATATAAGTATAGAACTTATGTTTTATAATTAAATAATAATTTTTGGTATTTCTAAAAAAGTTTGGTTGTATAAAACATGATAATTGATATACATAAAAGACAATTATAAATGGGAAAAAGAATAGATAAAAGCAAAAATAATAAAAGTATAGTGGAATAAAAGTAATTATATAGATTTATAGTAATCAAAGAAAATGCTATTGAAGTAAATGAAAACACTTATTCACAAAATTAAAATTAAACTTATATATAATTATTAGTGGTTATAATTCATATCATTTTGCAATATTAAAAAAAGTTATGTATTAAAGGGTCAAAAGATTGGTTTTCACAATGGGCACTGGGGTCAATTTATAGGATTTTTCTTAAATATCTACATACTTGTTTAAATTTGCCATAATATTAGTTGAATTTTAAAAATTCACCGGGGTCAGTTGACCCCCATGGTTGTATGCTGCCTCCGCCCATGGAGTTGAGAGTATTTCCTAAAGGTCCCATATCGAGAAGTTAGAGAGCGTTGGTCATAAGCTTTGTAATATAACTAGGAAGCTGAGCCCAACGCTTGAATCATACCTTTCTCGGCCTTTTGGCTAAGATCAAGTGTAGTATCTGTTCTTATCAGTTTAATATCTGATATGTGGGCCATCGGCTCACACGATATTAACTCTATTTTTTAAGGGAGAAGGCCCGCTAGGATAGCTTGCTATCTGTCGGTAAGGAATAAAAGTGAACGCAGAAATATTAAAGGCAGATTCTTTCTTTAACTTCCTAAAACATAACGGTATTAGAAGGTAAACAATGTTCCGAAGCGAATCTGTGAACTTTTTGCCTTTTCTATCGGGAAAGATTTGAATGTTAATGTTTTGAGACTGAAGCTACAATGTCAATAGCATTCCTGGCTTTAAATTACTGATACAAAAAAAATCTTGTCATATGGTGCTCATTTGCCTGCAGTTTGATGGATAATATGCAGATTTCTCAATCAGCCTGAGCTCTTTCGCCACTTGAATCATGCTATTCAACGGGTCTCCCAAGTTGCATCCAATGCATCTCAACGCTAATCTAAGAAAGGCTTTAACTGGCCAAACAGCTACCTCACTCATATCTGAATCTACAACCTCTGCATACCCAAACTTCCTCAGTATCTTAGAAATATGATGGTGAAGCGGGAAGCGAACATAGCGAACATCATCATAAGGTTTGATGAACAAATCAGATAATGCTCTCAGCATATCCGAAGATAGAGATAGCTCATCATCAACTTCCCTTATCTGGACAAGAGCTAGCATGAATGCTCCAAAGCTGTGCATATCAGTCTTTGTCGTGACATTACCGGTTGATTTGCAGTCGGGATCAATGACCGGTAAGTTACATACACCAAGTCCATGGGTTCCCTTTAATGTAATGTGCCTAAACTCATGGTATTTCTGTAATGTATCATCATGAACAAATGTCTCTCCTTCTGGAATTGTGATACAGTTGCAGAAATTCCCGAGCTTTGCGACCCCATTTCCATCTAAGAAAATGGTAAAAGGATCTAGATTCGAATGGATGAAAACTCTTGAAAATGCGGTATGAAGATAAGTCAAAGAGTTTGCGACCTCTCTTGCTATCTTTATCCTCCTCAGATTTCTCGGATGAGATACAAGCAGCGGACCAAGAGTTATAATCTCTGCATACTCAAAAACTAAGACAGGGGGAGTGAACTCAAGACAACATCCCAATAGCTTGAGGAAGTTCTTATGACCACTAACCATCGATGAGATCGCTATGTCGCGACAAATCTCTTTCATATCGAGTGTGTATTTTCCTTTCTTGATAAGTACTGGGCGGTCATCAAGTATGCCTTTATAGCAACGGTAATAAACATCAATCCGGGAAGCACGGTTACTTTGGGAGAAGTTATCTGTTGCTTTGATGATCTGATCGTAAGAGAAGTTCTTGATAGGATTGCATTTTCCATCACAACATTCAATGAGCTCTTTTAGAACAACCTCGCCATTCTCTTTGACATTCCTCTTCCTTGTTTTGGCTCCGATTCTTTTTGTTGTCAACCAATCCATCGTAAAGACTCTCTACAAGGATTATCCTTAAGAGCACCAAATTTCATGTGTGTAAACTCCTCAGAGAAACTCCATTAATCCACTCTCAACAGCTGAAATAAAGAGAAAATCAAATCATTGGTACTGCAATGGAGAAAAATAGATTAGATCTCGAGCAAATAAACCCAATCCCACTTTCTCGATCTCTGTTCTCCACAGAACAAGACTGGAACTAAGAAATTTTTAACAGCAGTTGATGAGTTTTATCACAATCAATGGGAGCTAATGAACACCAAAATGGAAAGGGAGATATGTAGATAAGAAATGGAATCCAACCTCTAATAATGTCTAAAAAGTTGATATTGTACCTCAGAAGCGAAAGCACCATTTGTACCAGTTGTCCCTATTAATATGTCAGTTGTACTATTTGTATCAGTTGTACTATTATTTTTCAGTAATACCATTTGTACCAATTGTTCGTATTTATATATAGTTATACCTATTTGTACCAATTGTACTATTATATTTCAGTTGTACCATTTGGACCAGTCATCTTACAATCTCTTATATGTACCAGTTGTATTATTTATTTCATAGTTGTACTAAGTTGTACTATTCCGTACCAATTCGCCCTAATTTCATTAAGGGTAATTTGGGGATATCACATTTATGGTGGCACTCAGATTATAAGATGGCACGCCAGATTAATTTTTTTCAAATAGTGGCATATGTGGCTCGGACTCCACGAATGCTGCATAATAAGAAAAGGAAGCAAGCCATATCAAAATTTGGATATATTAGGTATAGTTTATTCCCTAAGAAAGTGGGTATGGTCCACTAACCAAAGCGAGTATATGTAGTCGGCTAAAGAAAAGAGTTGACTTTGAGAAGCACCAAAATGAGACTAAATGTGTTCACACTTTGTTTGTTTCACATTGGAGGCAGAGTTACTATCTTTGGCATGAAATCAATCAAGAAAATGAGCTCAGTATTTGACATCTGAGTTCTTGATAGAAAAATACAAAGACAAGTAGCAACAAGAAATCAAAACACAATGAGACATCATCACTAAAAAAATTCACACTTACGAGAGCAAAGTTACTCTCTTTGGCTTGCCAAGATAATGTCTTTATTCGATAAAATGGAATCAATAAAGAAATGACTTCAATATTTGACATTTGAGTTCTTGATAGAACAAGACAAAGACTAGTAACACAAGAACTCAAACACATTGAGACATCACTAAAACTTCTCAGAAGTTATCATTCTTTCAAGAGGTATAAAGACACTAACAAGACAAGGAAGACTAATTAAGAGAGTTTCTCAATCAATTTGAGCTCTTTAGCAACTTCAAGCATACTACCCACTGGATCTTGCTTCTTATATCGTACACATCTCAACGCTAATCTAAGAAACGCTTCAACCTGAGACCGTCTCAAAACCAAATCATCATCCCCACCCAAATCATTCCATATCTCTTTATCAACAATCTCATCAAACTCACCTTTCTCCATTACCTCAGACACATGATCGTTAAGCGACATAGGAGCCTCATCTGGTCCATTAAAGACAGCAGCTCTTCCAGACAACAAAACCAACATCACAACACCAAAGCTATAAATATCAACTTTCTCAGTAACTTTCATTGTCCAGTAATAATCTGGATCAACAAAACCAATCACACCTTTCACATCATCTTCAACATACAATTCTCCTTCTGGTATAGCAACACAGAACCAGAAATCAGAAAGCTTCGCCGTCCAATTCTCGTCAATGAAAATGTTCGTCGGATTTATATTCCGATGGATTATAGTCTCTGGAAACGCCGTGTGGAGATAAGTCACAGAACTAGCTATCTCTTTAGCAATCTTCAATCTCACTTTCCATGGTAAAACCTCTCCACTTGCGAGTCCTCCGTCTCTATTAAGCGGTCCGTGTTCTGTGTATTCACAGATTAAAGCTGGAAGATCAAATTCCAAACAACAACCTATAAGCTTTAAAGCATTCTTGTGTCCACTCATCTGAGAGGATACAGAGATATCTCGATACGCTTCTGTGAAGCTTGAGAGATTCTGACTCGACCATTTCTTGATTGAAACTGGTATTTCTTCGATTACGCCTTTGTACCAGATGAAGTATCCCCAGCTGGAAATTATTCTGCTCTCGGAGAAATTGTCGGTCGCTTTAAGGATCTGATCGGAGGAGAAGCAACGAATCGGATTGGTTTTGCCGTCGAAGGAAGCGATTAGCTCCTCTAATAGAATCCCTCCGTTCTTCAAATCCGATCTTCTCTTCTTCTTATTGTTCTTGCTCATCTTTGGATAATTGTAGCAGAAAGATCGAAACTTTGGCTTTTGCAAAGGAGCAAACTTGATTTGTGATAGTCAACTCATGACTGAGTGGTCAAATTCCGACAATTAGATATTTCAGTTTTATTCATGTCTTTTTAATTATTGAAACTTCGCCCAATACATTTATAATATACACTCGACACCCAAAATTAGATATTTCAATTTGTTCTACATCTTATTTTTAGTTACACATTGAGCCAATAAATCTACAATAGCTACTATATGCCCCCAATAGCTACTGTGTAAAATCCACTCTATGTCCATCTCTCAATCCTTTTGAGTTCCTTGGCAACTTCCATCATCTTTGGAACATCACCTCTATGACCAGTGCATCTGAGTGAGAGCATAAGAACTGCTTCCATTCTTCGTATCTTGTGTTCTTCGGTTTCATCATCACCCATACTTTCCAACATTTTTGAATCCAACATCTCAAAGATTCTTCCCTCTTCCATAAATTTGGATATCCTATCTGAAATCCTTAGATTCATTACGTTTTGTTTGTCTTCAAACTCTTCAAATAGACTCTCATCTTCACTGCAACAACAATCAACCACTCCATCCATTCTGGTGAAAAAGTTTTGCAACAACACTCCGAAGCTAAAAACATTGGTATACTCAGTGATCAATCCTGTCGCCGCGTAGTTATACTCAAGATAATCTAATGTGCCTTCTACTCTATCAGCATGAACCTTAACAAATGTCTCTCCTTCAGGAATTGAGATACAAAGACAAAACCCACTTAGCTTTGCTGTCCCATTTGAATCCAAGAAAATGTTAGAAGGTTGTATATCCGTATGAATCATAGTTCTTGAAAAGGCGGTGTGAAGGTAAGAAACCGCAATCGCAATCTCTTTCGCAATCTTTATTCGCATTCCCCAAGGTAACAACATTTCCGGGTTTGGAGTATTAAAAGGTATACGTTCTGCATACTCACAAACTAAGACCGGATGCTCAAACTCAAGACAACATCCTAAAAATTTGAGGAAATTCTTGTGACCACTCACCATTGATGAGACTGCTATGTCACGACAGATCTTATCTAATGTATCGGATTTGTAGTAACTCCATATGGTTCTTTTGATTAGAACAGGACGGTTTTGGAGCATATCTCTGTACATAAACTCGAACCGAATCACGAGATTGCTCTCGCTGAAGTTATCGGTGGCTTCGAGGATTTCTTTAGCAGAGAAGGTTTTGATTGGATTGGACTTGCCATTGCAAAGCTCGATGAGATCTTCTAAGAGTACCTTCCCGTTTTCTTGGAACAATCTTTGCCGTTGATTTACTTCAAAGTTCTTCTTCTTCTTTGTGTTGTTCCTCCAACAACTCATCTTCTGATCAGTATCAAAGCCTCGCCCCAAGAAGTTTTTTTTTTTTCAGTGAAAAGATGAGAAAGTGTATGATTGATTTTATTATGTCTTTATTTCGATTATAACATTTGAGGTCAAAGAAATACAAATAAAAACATTAAAAATCTTGTCTTTTGGTCCAAGTATAAAGTTTTAGTTTTTCTTCGGTCAAACTTTTATAAAGGTAAGAACTTTTTCTGTTTGAGGAGCTATAATCGACGATGAGATCTTCTTGGAGAAGGAAGAAGGATATAGAGGACAAGCGTAGAGAATGGTTCTTCAACAATGGAAGCACTTTTCTTCAGGAGCTCATCGCTGATTCTAACGGTATCTCAAACTCTATCCGTTTCTTCTCTTCCGATCAAATCCTCAAGGCCACGGAGAGTTTCGATCTCAAGTTTAACCTCTCTCGTCATAGACTCTTCACCTGGTACAAGGGCGTCATCGAAGGAAGACCTTACGCGATTAAGAAATTCACAGAGTCAGAGTTTACGAAAGATGAAGTGAGAGAGGTTTACAACGACATTGTCTTATCTACTCGAGTAAGCAATCAAAGTAGTTTTCTCAAACTTCTGGGTTGTTCTCTCGAATTTCCTCTTCCGGTTATAGTGTTTGAATTCCCAGAGAAGGGAGTTTTGAATGAGCGAGGAGGTTTTGGTTGCGAGGATGGGCCATTGTTGCCTTGGAATGTTCGATTGAAGATTGCCAATGAGGTTGCGATTGCTGTGACTTATCTTCACACAGCTTTCTCTAGGATTATTATACATAGAGATATCAAGCCGACGAATGTTTTCTTGGATAAGAATTGGACGGCTAAGCTGACTGATTTCACGTTTTCAGTATCACTCCCTGAGGGTAAGTCTTGGATTGAAGATGAGGTGATGGGAACTTTTGGATACATGGATCCAGTTTACTACTTCACTGGTTTAGTGACAGAGTATACAGATGTGTTCAGCTTTGGAATCTTTATGTTGGTTCTTCTGTTAGGAAGACCAGCTGTTTTTGCTGGAACAAGTGGGGTTCATTGTAATATTCTTGATTATGTGAAGGATATGCAGGAGAGAGGAGAAAGTGTTGAATTTGGGGATGATTTGAACGATATGAGGCCTATTCAGATGAAAATGTTTCTTGAGCTGGCACTGAGATGCTGCGAGAAGAGGAATGAAGACAGGCCAAAGATGATCTTGGTGGCAAAAGAGATTAAGCTAATAGAAGGATTACTCGATTTTTAAAGCCTGAGATGCTGGAAAATGGGTCTGAGAATGGTCACCTGGATTTCTTATTTTTAATAGTTATACGATTTTAGGGTGAAACTTCATTTTGATTTGGAAAGAGTTTAGAGAGTAAAGCAATATATCTTTAGGTTTTGGAATTAGGCAGAACATGTAGGATGATTGTGGTTTTCGGAGAAGCTCGTTCTCGAACTAAGGAGTATGGAGTAATTCTTAGCGAACGATTGGATCCTAGTAGTTTCGAGAATTTGCTTGAAATGTGTCTTATTGAAATTGTTTATCAGGATTAGGCTACAAAGCTGAAGCCTTATGAAAGTTCCGTGTTGATCATTCAGACTACATGTGCAAAAGAGTGGGTTTCAAACTTGTTGACTGAAAAGTTGACTTTCTGAAACTTAAGTGGCTTCAGATTCAACATTATTATACTGTTTAGTCTCCACGAGGAGGCAACTTTGACTACCATCAACATTTTAAGACTCCAAAAGCAATTCTTTATTGATCTGAAGAAAATCATGAAGTTCTGGAGAAACAAGGGGAAAGAGAGGAGGAAGCAGTGGTTCTTAGACAACGGAAGCACATTTCTCAAAGAGCTCATTGCTGGATGCAACGGTAAAACAAATCCTATCCAAAGCTTTTCCTCTGACCAGATCCTCAAGGCCACAAATGGCTTTGATCCAAGCCGCTATGTCACGAGTGACCTTTACTACACCTGGTTCACAGGTAGCATCGAAGATAGATCTTACATGATCAAGATGTTTCCTGAGGAGAAAGTCAGAGGAGATGGAGATGGAATTGGAGCTGTTTACAACGACATTGTCATATCTGCTCGTGTTACCAATCATAGTAATTTCCTCAAGCTCTTAGGATGCTGTCTCGAGTTCCCCTTCCCGGTACTGGTGTTTGAACACGCAGAAAACGGAGCTCTAGGCCACCAAGGAGGTATTGGTTCGAAGGATTCAGAGTTCTTGCCTTGGGATGTAAGACTGAAGGTGGCAAAGGAGATCGCCAATGCGGTTACTTATCTTCACACCCCAGGATCATTGTACATAGAAATGTAACTCCCATGAATGTTTTCTTGGACGAAAATTGGACAGCTAAGCTGTCAGATTTCTCACTTGCTCTAACTCTTCCGGAGGGGAAATCCCAAATGGAAGATCAAGTGATGGGATGGCCCGGATACTTGGATCCTTCGTATCTTCATACAAATATCGTCACGGAGTATGTTGATGTATATAGCTTTGGAATCTTTATGATGGTTCTTCTGATTGCAAGACATAGTATGGCTCCTCGATCTGATATGCGCTTCATTGATATCCGTACCTATGTAAGAGGCTTACAAGAGAAAGGCGAGTTTATCGAGACCATATTCAAGGTTGGAGTGAGAGATATTGTGGAGGCTAAAAGATGTCAGGTGGACAAGTTTGTTGACCTAACGTTCAGATGCTGCGAGAAGAGTGTGGAGAAGAGACCGAAGATGATCGATGTTGCCAAGGAGCTTAAACGGATAGAGAGATCACTAGATGATACACCTGCTGGTCCGAGGTAAACAAGACTATATAGATCCGTTTTGGTTCCTGAAATATGCATAAACTCTTGGGAGAAAAACTTGAGGCAAATTCCAAGAACGTGAAGAGGTTATTGACGTATTGTAATCAGTATCTAGTGAACAAATTATGACAATGCTTGTTTTATTAATAAATAATCACAATGTGAACGATTGTTAGTCTTAAATGAAAAGTTTGTTAAAATGCAGCAATCATGTATTGAAATTTTCTGTGGAGAAGGATTGGTGATGAGTATGTCAAGTGTCAAAAAATGGGACCCAAATGTAACCAATGGTTGAAATTTGTAAAACTGTACGCGTCTTTGTATGCTTTCAGAAAAATAAATTGATTTTTTTCAGAAGCACCTTTAAGTCTTTCTTGGTTTTGGAAGAAAACTGTGAACCTCTTTGTCCAGAGTTTTGTTATTTGTTAAATGAAATCGATGTTGAAGCAGGTGAAGCGGAATCTGAGATCAGGATCGTCCGAGAAAAGGAAGGAAAAAGACATTCAAGAAGAAAGGTGGTTCTTGGAGAACGGAGGCATCTTCTTAAAAGAGCTAATAGCTGATTGTAATGGTAAGTCCATTCCTATTCGCAGCTTTTCTCCTGAGCAGATCTTGAAAGCCACCAACAATTTCGATTCAAGTTGTTTTGTCTGTGATGACGCAATCTTCGAGTGGTTCAGAGGAAACATCGAAGATAAATCCTACTTAATCAAGAGATTCCACGAGGATAGATTTTTAGAACAAGAATTTCAGGTTGGAGAGGCTTACAAAGACATTGTCTTGTCTGCTCGGATGAGTAATCACAGCAACTTTCTGAAACTATTTGGATGCTGTTTCGAGTTCAGTTTTCCTGTTTTTGTGTTTGAAAATGCAGAACATGGAGTTATGTTAGAGGAAGGACGTATTCTGGTTAACGGGGAGGAATATATATTGCCGTGGAATGTACGGTTGAAGATTGGAAAGGAGATTGCAGATGCCGTGACTTATCTTCACATGGCATTCCCTAAGATCATTATACATAGAAACATTAAGGCAACAAATATTTTCTTAGACAAGAATTGGACCGCAAAGCTGTCTGATTTCTTGCTCTCCATAATGATCCCTGAGGGAAAATCAAGAATAGAAGTTAAATATCGAGGAACAAATGGGTACAGCGACCCATTCTATTTTACCACCGGTTTTGTGACGGAATATTCAGATGTGTACAGCTTTGGAGCATGTTTGTTTGTTTTTATCACTGGTAAACCAGCTTTTGACCCCGCTAGATTTGAGGGGAATAACATACTTATTGCTGGCTATGTGAAAGGCTTATATAAGAATGGGAAGCTCGATGAAGTTATCGATCCAATGATGGCAAAAGACATCACAAGTGGCCAAAGATTGCAGGTGGAAGCGTGTGTGGTGCTGGCTTTGAGATGCTGCGAAGAAAGAGATGAAGACAGACCAAAGATGATCCAAGTAGCTAAAGAACTCAAGCGGATTGAGCGAATAGAACAGTGACTAGATGCTACATCTGGATTGTTAAAGCCTGAGACACTGGAAGATGGGTCAAGTACGGGCAAGTAGACAAGGAAATTCAAATTCAAGATTGAGATTATGCTCATAATAAGTTTCTGTAAACATTGGATTTCTTATTGCATTACTTTTTTTGGGTAAAGCTTCAGTTTAATTAGGAATTATTTGAAGACTAAATTCCTCAGATTCAACACTACATTGTTCTTGTGTTCTTGACAAGGAGGCAACTGCTTAACATAACAATATAACATGTAAAGATTGCAAAAGCATTTTGCAATGGATAATGTTTACATACTAGAGAGATTTGAAAACAGAGAAATACATTTTTTCAAGGATAGACTTTTAGTGTTAGACACTATACAATGTTGACAATGTTGCGATTTGAGTTCAATTCACAACAAATACAATCTCACAAACTCTCAATCTCTCTGAAGAACAACTTGATTCAGCTCAAAAGAAATATGAAAGGAAAGTAAGAACAGAGCACACAAAGAGTTTGTTTACTCAGTTCAGCAAGATCAATCAGCCGAAATAAATCCGGAAATTCACTAGAATACGGACGAGATTACAGATACAAGATCTAGCTCTGACAATGGAGTATCTCTCTCAACTTTTACAACTTACAAGAGTAATGAACAGTACAGAGAAGAAGAAAACGTTATAAAAGACCGTTCTTTAAGAACAGAAGACCATCTCTCATGAAAAGAATCCTCTGCTCTTCAATTCCGGTTCATCATCAAACCGGAAATCAGCTGTTCACAATCCTCTGATGAAACCAACCTCAAAATTGAATCAGAAAAACCAATTAACCACAACAGTACAGACAAGTCATTCTCTTTGACCAAGACCAAGTCATCGCCGAACCTCACTCTCACTGTTCCAGAAGGTCGAGTCTCTCATTTCGTTCTGTGGAATTTTCAACGATGGGTTCCGTCTTTTGTCTTCAAACCGGGAAAAGGTACTGTCTTGTTTGCACCCAGAAAGTTTAAAGATTGGATTTTCAGAAGCACCTTTTCGGTCAGAAAAAAATCAGATATTTTTTATTTTTGGGGAAAACTTGAACATTTTCGCCCACTAATTTCACTTTTTTTTTATAAATGGAATCGATAGTGAAGAAGTTGAAACAAAATCTGAGATCTGGGTCCGTGAAAAAGACGGAAAAAAGCATGAAGAAGGAAAGATGGTTTTTGGAGAACGGAAGTATCTTCTTAAAAGAGCTCATCGCTGATTGTAATGGTAAATCCATTCCTATACGTAGCTTTACCTCTTCCCAGATTCGTAAAGCCACCAAGAATTTCGATTCCAGTTGTTTTGTCACTGAAGAAGGGTTCTACATATGGTACAAAGGTGTTATCGAAGATAGATCTTACATGATCAAGAGATTCTCTGAGTATAAAGTCACAGATTACAGAGTAGGAGAGGTTTATAAAGACATTGTCTTGTCTGCTCGGATGAGCAACCACAGCAACTTTCTTCAATTATTAGGATGTTGTCTTGATTTCCCTTTTCCGGTTCTTGTGTTTGAATTTGCTGAACGTGGAGTTTTGAATCATCGAGGAGGTGTTACCGTTAACGGGGAGGAATCTTTATTGCCTTTGAGTTTGAGGTTGAAGATTGGGAAGGAGATTGCAAATGCCTTGGCTTATCTTCACATGGCTTTCCCTAAGATCATTATATTTAGAGATGTGAAGCCAATGCACGTTTTCTTGGACAAGAACTGGACTGCAAAGTTGTCTGATTTATCTTTTTCAATATCGCTGGACGAGGGAAATCACAGATAGAAGCGGAAGACGTGCTGGGCACATATGGTTACCTTGATCCATTATACTTTGCAACTAGAATTGTGACAGAATATACTGATGTGTACAGCTTTGGAGTCCTTTTGATGGTTGTTATGACTGGCAGATCGGTTTACTTCACTGGACCTGACGGATATCGAGTAGGTATTCTTGCATATGTGAAAGGTTTATCTGAGTATGGGAAGCTCAGTGAAGTAATATGTCCTATGATGATGCAAGACATGACAAGTGCTCAAAGATTGCAGGTGGAAGCATGTGTTTTACTTGCACTGAGATTCTGCGAGGAGAGGGTTGAAGACAGAACGAAGATGATTCAGGTAGCTAAAGAACTCAAGCGGATAGAACATCATGTTTTGAGATCCTAGCTAGTGATCATCTCTACTCTCAGACTGTATAGCCAAGTTTCAAATTTATTAGTTCTGAAAGTTTGGAACTCAAGCGGATTATGGACCTGAAGGATGCCAAAGAGTTTAAGGGGTTAGAAAGACTTTGAAAGCCTCTATGTCCGACCCAAACAAAGTCTACTTTGTGTAGAGTTGTCTAAAAGCCTTTGCTTATATATGGTCTTTCTCTGTTTTTCAGATTTCTCTAGTATTTTTGTTGATATGTAACATGAGCTTAGATAGCTAGATTTCAGTTTGGGCCTAATGGCGTCATAATGAAACTGCAAAGCTATTTCTGCATTATTAGTTCCAGAAGTTACAAAGATGATTTACATCTACTGCTTCCAGCTGAGTTTTCCTGCAAGTTAGGTATAATCATAGACATAACCTATCATGGAAACAATAACCACTTCTATTTAACAGGAAATTGCTTTAAGAATCCAAAAAATGGGAAACATAGATGCACAGATTCATGTAGAAAATGTTTCTTTTCAGTCATTATATAGTGCAAGCATATATAGAAAAACACGCTAGACTCATAGAAGGTCATATGTTTCTCTGAGCTTCTCTGAGTTATTGCTATATGTACGAAATTGAGTTCCACGCTTCAGAAAGAAATTTATTAAAACTTTTGACTTCACAGTCCAAGAACAGATAAGAAGTCTTTAGCTAGAATCTTTCAATGATGTCTCAAAAGCTGTACACATCGTGGCAATATATGATGGATCCAGGTACCCTACTGTTCCCATTACTCTTTCAGTTTCAATTCTTCTTGTTTTTCTTTCAGGGAGAGAGATGGAAAACGATAAATTGGAAAGCATTGCGTTCCAGTTCTTATCCAAGATAATCCTCACTGGATTAACATCTCTATGTATGATGATCTTAGGAAACGTCATGCGAAGATAAGTCAATGCGTCAATGCGCACTCCTCGGCAATAAAGCTTCCTCCCTGTTAACTTTAATAGCAACATCCAAATAGCTTGAGAAAGTTACTATGGTTGTTCGTGTTAGGATTTCCAAAATAATGTCTCAATCTGCTTGAGTTCTTTATATTTGGATCATCTTTGGTCTGTTTTCATCTTTCAGCTCGCAGCATCTCAGCGCCAACACCACACACGCTTCCACATGCACTTTTTGAGCACTTTTCATGTCTTGCATCATCATAGGACATATTACTTCACTGAGCTTCCCATTCTCAGTTAAACCTTTCACATATGTTTAACAGCCTATAGATTAGTCTGTTACATAACAGCATCGTCAACCTCAGGTTTAATACTTTACTACCGTGTCCTACTTGTTCTACCCAAGTGGGCAGAACTTATGAACTTTCTAATGTACATCACTTCATGCCGACTTAGCCAAGCTTATCCTACATTTCTCTCTCTGTCAGGTCTAATCTTATGTCTGTTTTTAAAAACTGACAAAGAAGTGAACATGTTTCATCTCATGCTGTCATCTTAAAGGACTCATGACACATATATCGTTGGTTGGGGCCAAACTGAAATTTAGGAATCGTGTTACATTCTCAAACCGAAATGTAAAGAAAATCTGAAAACAGAGAAAGACCATTCAATAAAAGAAAGGCATTTAGACGAAGCGGTGACAATTCCTTCGATTAACTTGAGCTCTCTGGCCACATCGATCATCGTAAGAAAGTCTTTTCCAGGCCAGAACCTAACGCATCTTAACGCAAGTGCAAAAAATGCTTTCACTTGCACATCCAAACCCTTAATATCACTGTTCCAGATGGTCTGGTCTATCAGGTCGATGAAATGTTCCGATAATTTTCCAACCGAGACAGGAAATGGGAATCCAAACTCCCCAATCATAGCAGCTAACCATTGGACTCCAAGTTCTCCAGCCAAAAGAAATAGCATTGTAACTCCAAAGCTATAGACATCAAACTTTTCCGACACTAGACCTGTTCCATAGTAATCAGGGTCAACGGATATCCCATAAACTTCTGCTTCATCATCAAAAACGCATGATTCTCCTTTCGGGATCGATATGCACAAACAGAACGAGGAAAGCTTTGCGGTCCCATTCTCGTCTAAGAATATGTTTCGAGGGTTAATTTCCCTATTAATTATGACCTGAGGAAACGCGGTGTGAAGAAAAGTTATGGCACTCGCAATATCCTTCTCGATCTTCAACCGTGTACTCCAAGGTAATGGAAAACCTTCCTTGTCCACGACTTGTAAAGGTCCTTTCTCTGCATACTCACACACCATTACCGGATTATGAAACTCTACACAGCAACCCAAGAGCTTCAAAACGTTTTTGTGGCTGCTCATCATAGATAAAATCGAGATATCGCGGTAAACATTGTCAGGGGAAAGGACATGATCTCCTTCCCATTTCTTGACAAGCACTCTCCGTTCTTCGATAGTACCCTTGTACCATATGAATCTATCTTTTGCTATGATATGATCTGCGTCGAAATTGTTTGTTGCTTTAAGAATTTGATCAGACGAAAACATTCGGATTGGATTGTATTTACCATCCGACGATGCGATCAGCTCTTCCAGTAATAAGCTCCCATTCTTGTCTGATTGTTTCCTTGTCTCACTCTTCATTTTAAAGAAACCCTTCATGTCTTTAATCAGGACACAAACAGGATATTTTCTCTGTTAATCCTTAACTTTTCATTGCCAATGCAAAGCAGAGGAAAAGACATGTAAGAAAAGGTATCTTTCAACGTGACAACAAGTTGCATTTGCATAATAATAAAAAAAGAAGAAGCAATTTGCTATTCATTATTGCCGTGGAAAACAATGAATTAATTGTAACAGGTAGGATCCTTTTCAACCCCAACAATTTGGGCGGATCTTAGGAAACGTCATGCGAAGATAAGTCAATGCATTTGCAATCTCTTTTCCAATCTTCAACCGCGCACTCCACGGAAATAAAGCTTCCTCCCTGTTAACTTTAATAGCTCCTCGATGGATTATGACTTGAAACACAAGAACCACAAAAGGAACTCCAGCAACATCCAAAGAGCTTGAGAAAGTTGCTATGGTTGCTCATGCTAGGATCTCCAAAATAATGCCTCAATCTGCTTGAGTTCTTTAGCTATTTGGATCATCTTCGGTCTGTTTTCATCTCTCAGCTCACAACATCTCAGCCCTAACACCACACACGCTTCCACAAGCACTTTTTGAGCACTTGTAATGTCTTTCATCACCTTTGAATCTATTATTCCATCGAGCTGCCCATTCTCATGAAAGCCTTTCACATAGCCAGCAATATGTTTGTAGTCCCCATCAGAGCTAGTGGATGCAAGAGCTGGTTTACCAGTGAGAATAACCATCAAGAAGACTCCAAAGCTGTACACATCGGTATATTCCGTCACCATTTTCGTGGTATAATATACTGGATCGAGGTACCCGATTGTTCCCTGAACGCATTCAACTTCTATCCTTGATTTTCCCTCAGGGATGTTTATGGAGATGGAGAAATCAGACAACTTTGCGGTCCAACTCTTGTCCAAAAAAACATTCCTTGGATTAATGTGTCTATGTATGAGGATCTTGGGGAACGCCATGTGAAGATAAGTCACAGCATTTGCAATCTCCTTTCCAATCTTCAACCTTAAACTCAAAGGCAATATATATTCCTCACCGTTAACCATAACACCTCCTCTGTGATTCAAAACTCCATGCTCTGCATATTCAAACACAAGAACCGGAAGACAAAACTCAAGACAGAATCCTACTAGTTTAAGAAAGTTGTTGTGGTTGCTCATCCGAGCAGACAAAACAATCTCGTTGTAAACCTCTGCTACTCTGTAATGAGTAACTTTATACTCGGAGAATTTCTTGATCATGTAAGATCTATCTTCTATGATACCTTTGTACCACACGTAGAACCCCTCTGCGGTTACAAAACAACTGGAACCGAAGTTACTTGTAGCTTTCAAGATCTGATCAGAAGAAAAGCTACGTATAGGAATGGATTTACCGTTACAATCAGCAATAAGTTCTTTCAAGAAGATGCTTCCGTTTTCCAAGAAACACCTTTCTTCCTGAATGTCTTTTTCCTTTTCCTTCCTTTTCTCTGACGATCCAGATCTCAGACTCTGCTTCAACTTCTTCACAATTGATTTCATTTAACAAATACAATTGTTACAGTTTTCCTCTTTGAACAAGAAAGACTTAATATCTGCGTGCATACAAGATGATGAATAGCTCTTCCCGATTTGAAGAAAGGAAACAAATTCCAACCATTGACGCTTTTGACATGGACTCATCACTCCCGAACAAATTGTTATCCATCAGTCTCTCGTAAAAAACTTTTTGGTTTGGCGTGTTGTTGCCACCTTATGATCTTTTGGTTGGGCTTTATTTATACACTTGACCCAATACATTCTATAGTTCACGAATTACTTCTTCGTTTCTCAGCTAAAAATTCTTAACAGTCTCGTTTAGGATTGGCAAGAATAGACTTTCGACTTTCAGAAGCTGCTTTTTAAGTAAGAAAGGTGTCCTCTTTATTCATCTCACCAACAAAAGGTTAATACTTTCTGAGGGGAAACAATCATTTTTGTCCCCAAAGAATTAGTAATTTGATAAACGAACTGATGAAGAAGCAGTATCTGAAATCTGGGTCTGGGTCTCGGACAAGGAAGGAAAAGGACAAGACGAAGAGGTGGTTCTTGGATAACGGAAGCATCTTCTTAACAGAACTTGTCGCTGATTGTAACGGTAAATCCATTCCTATTCGCAGTTTTTCTCCTGAGCAGATATTGAAAGCTACCAACAATTTCGATTCTAGTTGTTTTGTCTCGCAAGATGTATACTATAAGTGGTATAGAGGTCAAATCGAAGATAGATCTTACATGATCAAGAGATTCTCCGAGGATGAAATTACAGGAAAACGACATAGAGTTAAAGAGGTTTACAACGACATTGTCTTGTCTGCTCGGATGAGCAATCACAGCAACTTTCTTCAACTATTAGGATGTTGTCTCGAGTTTCCTTTTCCGGTTCTTGTGTTTGAATTCGCAGAATATGGAGCTTTGAATCAGCGTGGAGGTATTATGGTTAATGGTGAAGAATATTTGTTGCCGTGGAGTGTACGGTTGAAGATTGGGAAAGAGATTGCAAATGCTGTGAGTTATCTTCACATGGCATTCCCAAAGATCATCATACATAGAGATGTAAAACCAATGCACGTTTTCTTGGACAAGAACTGGACCGCAAAGTTGTCTGATTTATCCTTCTCAATATCTCTCCCTGAAGGAAAATCAAGAATAGAAGCTGAATGGGTTCTTGGAACATTTGGGTACCTCGATCCATTATATCATAAGACGAGTTTTGTGACTGAATATACCGATGTCTACAGCTTTGGAATCTGTTTTCTGGTTATTCTTACTGGTAAACCGGCTATCATCACTATTTCTGATGGAGATCTCCAAGGTATTCTTAGCTATGTGAGAGGGTTATGTGAGAATGGGAAACTCGATGAAGTAATAGATCCAATGTTGATGAAAGATATTACAAGTGGTCAAAGGTTGCAAGTGGAAGCGTGTGTGGTGCTTGCTTTGAGATGCTGTGAGGAGAGAGATGAATACAGACCAAAGGTGATCCAAGTAGCTAAAGAACTCAAGCGGATTGAAGCATCACTGAGAAATTCTAGCTAGAGATCCTCAAGGAAGTTGTTGAGATAAAACTTGAGATAGCTTTGCAGCGTAGGCATCACAAGACATGACTGAAGATGGGAGCATCTTTGGTGTTCAAAAGAAGAGTTATCGGTTGTTTGGACTATGTATATCTAAGTAAAATCCTTGGATTGTGAATATTAGAAACTCAGAATCTTAAACACAAGAGATATCGTGAAAGAAAGCTCGAAAATGAGAAGATTGTAACAACTTTTCACTACTAAAACTATATAAGAGATACATTTGTTTCAAGTCTTACAAGAAAAATTTGTGGCGTCAGGTATATTTTTCTATCTTCTTGAGTTCTTTTGCGATGTCTATCATACGAGGCACGTTCTCTCCTGGTCTGAATCTTACACATCTAAAAGCAAGCTCAATGAACGCTTCCATTTGCAGTCTTGAATGCTGGGGAATGTCGTCACTCGCGCTGTCCAACATCAACGGGTCTATCAGCTCAGTCAACAAACCTCGCTCCAGAAACTTCCCAACATAGACAGGCAATGCAGGAAGATAAACAGCAACTTCGGAAGTGTATTCAGACTTTTCTCTCAAAAGAACTAGCATGATGATCCCAAGGTTATAGATATCGACATTCTCAGTGACCAAACCTGTATTGAGGTAACCGGGCTCGATATAGCTCGATGTCTTGCAAACCATGTCATTTACGCCCGTTTCTCCTTCTGGAATCAGTACACTGAGGCTGAAAGAAGAGAGCTTGACGGACCAATTCTCGTCCAGGAAAATATTTGCAAGCTTTAAATCCCTATGGATTATAGTCCTGGGGAATTCAGTATGCAGATACGTTATAGCATCTGCAATCTCCTTAGCGATTCTCAACCTTACATTCCAAGGGAATGGCCGGACGCCTTCTTTTCCACGTCTTATACAGTTTAGAGCTCCATTTTCTGGGTACTCACACACGAGAACAGGACGAGGAAACTCTAGACAACACCCTAGAAGCTTGAGAACATTCTTATGGCTACTCATCAAAGATGAAACCGCAATATCACGGTAAAAGTTGTCAGCGTCGAAAACAGAACAGTCTTGGAATTTCTTGATCAGTACGAGTCTGTTTCCAATCTTACCTTTGTACCACACGAATCTGTCTTCAGAGATTACGTAGTTCCAGTCAAAGTGATTTGTGGCTTGAAGGATTTGGTCGGAAGAAAACGTACGGATGGGATTGTATTTACCTCCTGAAGTTGCAATGAGTTCTTCCAACAATAAGCTCCCATTCTTCTGGAAATTGATCTCCTTTTCTTTCTTCTGCTTCTTCTTCTTCTTCTTTCTGAACAGACGCAACATCTCTAATCCTAGTAAAGGAGATTGAAGAATGTAGATTGTCTTGTGAAGAAAGGGAAGAAAGAAAGAAAGAAAGAGAGCCAGAGACGCAAGAACAAGTCAAGTCAACGAGGTCACTTACAAAAGTCAACAACAACTTCTTTTTTGTGGTCCAAGTCAACAACTTATGTAATGTGAATAATACTCCCTCTGTTTCATTATATAGGATGTTTAGGAGTTTTTATTGTGTTTCATTATATAAGATGTTTTACAAGTTTCAATGCAAATCTTAAATATATTTAATATTTTTAATTATATAGATTATGCAGTCTTTTTTGTAATTGGTTGAATTTTTAAAAGTCAAATATTAAATGATAACTTTAAAAAAAAAATTAAATTTCTTAAACAATGTGCTTTTAGCTAAAACATCATATAATTTGAAACAGAGGGAGTAATATTTTTCTCTTGATGACATTATGTAATGATTAATTTACAAATTTGTTGAAGATTATTTTAAATCATTATTATAAGCTATAATATTTGTCCAATAACCAGATTTAAAATCAAGGAACCATCAAAAACCAGTAGTCAAAAATTAAAATGAAAATAATCAAGAAGAGAAAATTTATTCTTGAAATACTTTCTCTGTTTTATTAATAAACAATGAAATGGAAATAGATAGGAAATGAATAAGATCACATAATTAATTTTTAATACATAATGAAAGATAGCTTAGTGCAAGTAGTAGCTGAAGAGGGACACAAGGGAAGCTCCAACCAAAGAGCCAAGGGCTGGCAACGCAACCGAGGCGGCGGATGCAGCGGGTCCTGGTGCCGGAGCTCCGACTTCGTCAGCAGCCATGACGGCGGTCATGGAGGCAGCAGCGAAAAGCACACCGCAAGCAATCTTCTTCATCTCCATTGTTGAGACCTGAAAGGCTTTTCTTTTCTTCTTTTTATTTAGTTTTTGTGTTTTTTTGAAGTTCTTGCAGGTCTGAGGAATATGGATTGTGTTGATGGGGAATTTATATGTGTGGAACTTTTGTTATTTTTAGTAATATTTACTTTTGCTTTACCTAAAAATAAAAGAGTTTAAGGAACAACATTAGGAGAGTAACAAAAATTCTGATGGTCAAAAATAACTTAGTCGCCGTTAAATGTAACTATAATCACGGTGAAAAGAGTTGCAATATGTGGCTTAGATTTATTTTCGCATTTCTGTTTGTATATTCTTGTTACAGAAACATGAGTTTCAATTTCGTTACAGAAAGATAAAATTTAGATCTTTCACATACAATGATACAACATATTAGGTAATCAAATGCAAAATTCTTTTGTACATCTCTAGTTGGTTAATTCGAAGAAAATTTGTGTTAAATTACACAAAACCTATATACAAAATAAAATCTAATTGTTAGTAAGGTGTTGTTTTCGATATTAACAAACTCCAAATGCTACATTCAAAGATGATTACGTTTTATAGATCTGCAACATGACCCATCAAGAAAACATTAACTGGGGGCAAAACAAATGTAAACAATAACCTCTATATAAAATTACCATCATATTATATGATCTATATATAACAATATTTGAGAAGTGTTTTTGCTGACGTGTCGGACTCTCGGCTCTTGTTGAGTCCTTGATTTTACGTAATTACTTAATTACCCTTAATGAAATCTAATTAATTTTGGAAAAGTTAAATTGAATTTCGGAATTAACCAGGAAAAAATAATTTCGGAAACAATAAACATGATAATTAACCAAAAAAAAAAAAAAGGAACAACGAAGTACCAGTTAGGAAGCTTTAATTGAATTCATCGTGTTCTTCGTCGTGTGAATATAATTCTTCTAAACGAAGGCAAAACGTGAAATCCTAACATAAAGCATATATTCATAGCAATAACAGAGATCTAATAATTTAGTAATAATTTATTAATCGGAGCATTAATATAAACATAAAAGAATACTATTCTAATCTTACTCAAATTAATAAGATTTAGATATCCGAAATTAATCGTAAACGGCTATTAATTGTTAAACTAATTAAAATAAAGATCAAACGTACCGGAATAGATGAAATTTTTGGTATGATCGTCGTGTTCGTCGTCGTTTCAATCTAAATATTTGGAAAAAAAAACAAACAAAAAAAATAATATGTAGATCAATGAAAGAGAACCCACCAATTTAGAAACGATTATCTCGCCATCGTATTGTTCGTCGGATGTTTATAAGTCTCTAATCCGGAGATTGACTTGAACCCTGACAAAAACATATATTCATAGCATAAAATCGTAAATAGAAGGTAGAAGACCACCTATTAATCGGTTGTAACCTTGTGCAAACTCGATTTAATTTTGACGAATGAAATGTTGGTGTGGTGTCAAAACTTTCTTGGGGAGACTCGAAGATGAGAGAGCTGAAGTCAGAGATAGGCAGAGAGGTTTACATGTGAATTAAGGTATGGAATGCTAACGTGAACATGAACGTGAACGGCGGTGATTTTTGCACATAATAGCAATTAGATCGAGTTTTGGAAAAAAATATGGATCAGCGTGACATGACGCATATGGATACCATGCATGTCTATCTATTGTAAATCAAAAATTATATTATTGTTCCGCCTTATTTTTGAAACAGAAAGGAATTTTCCCTTAAATTTTAATATATTTTATAAGATAGTATCAGATATAGTAGTAAATCTAAAATAGTTGTTATTATTCCATATTTTTACGGAAAAAAGTAAAAATTATTTTAAATAAACATGGATAACAATGAATAAATGGCAGTTTTACAAATATTTACTATTATGATAGTGATTTGCTTATTAAAATATGTAAATTTTCTTTTCTTTTTTTGTATTTATCGTCGAAAAATTTAGAAACCCTAAATCATGCACCGCCTCCTATTCAATATAAATACCTTGCTCATGGTATTCAATTTCAGATCATAACTAACCCTTGTTTTTTTTGTTCTTTTTTTCAAACTTTTTTTTGCTTCTACCTAATTTTAATTTTTCTTTTTATTGTAGGGTGGATGTATGGAGGGGACGATGTGAACTGGTGTATGGAAAATTTGGATCTAATTCAATGAATAAACAGGTGATCTTATAGTTTATATGTACAAATTTGATTTTTTTTTTTTTTTGTATTTATGGTTTCACTATTTTCACCACTAATCAATTTTTATAATCAAAAAGTTTGGTTTCAACTTTTGAGAAGGTAATCATCGATGGTTTGGTATGTTTCTTTTTGTTGTAAAAAGATGAGGTACCTCCCGATTTTGTTGAGGTACATGTTCTTATTATTTTCAAATATGTCTTTTTTCAGAAGAAACACTCAACTTTTGATAACACAGTTGCCACAAAGTCAGAAAGATGACTTATTTCAGGGATGAATCTTCAGAGGAGGCTAATTTTTGTCGTTAATACAATTTAAGTATTCCTCTCTTTAGATTAGGGATAACAAACTTGGCTGTTAAATTCAGGAATTACTCTTCGTTGCGAGGTCATTCTAAGGCACTGAGATTCGGACTTTGGTATGTATAGGATTCGTTTTCCATGCACTAAGATTTAATTATTGTTTAATTTATTGGTTTTTAGGTTTCTTTCCATGCTCTGATGCGTTTTCGGGTGTGCCAATGGAAGCTTGCATCACTCTTTACTCCAAACGTATGTATGCTCTGCATTAGCTTCTTCTGTTCCATTGGTTATTATGGGTTTTGACTTTTGAGAAATATACAACAATTTAAAACCAGGTTTTGTTGTTGATTGGTTCGGTTTGTATACCATATTTTGCTAAATACATATGACCATAAATAAGACCAAAGGAGCTGGGTTAGCTCCTTTGCCAGCTAGGTTGACTTCGTCTCCTCCCCGTCTTGCGGATTTCCGTTATTCAACGGGTATATTTGAGAAGTATACGGTACTAAAACCACAACCATTGATCTTAGCTTGATCGGTTCTTCCCTAGGATTTATACATAAAAGTAAATTGTTTTGTTTAATAATTTTCCATTGCATGAACTTTCGAGACAACAAGTGGACAGGAGTGTAATGTCATCAAAAGTCAAATCAAACACTGTGAGGAACATAATAGACAACGTTGGCTTCTTTCGCAGCTGCTCAACGTTGTCTCTCCCGATGGTCCCAACACTCTCTTCTTCTTTTTTTGTCAACATTCAAACGTTGTTTAAAATAAATAAAAATGTTTAACCTTAATCATCTTTCTAGATCTTTAAATGCCTAAAACTTCAACTTAATCAGTCAGCAATCCGTCACGTTAATGATTTTGAAAGGAAGACTTTGTTTTGTTTCGGTTAGTTTTGTTTGTTTAGTATTTTAATCACAAGATAACTCTAATTTCCCATTAGAGTTGTGTTAATTGTGTTGATTATGATTTGGCGTTCTAATTCTGATATTATTTTTATGTTGTAAATCTTAAACTGTTACGTTATTGTTCTATCTTCCTATGTGAGAAAAAAAGTAAAATGTTTTAAAATTTTGACATGGATAATAATATAATTGTAAATCTATAATAATTATATTATCATTTTATTTATATTTTTCAAAAAGAAATATATTTATCTTAATAGATTTAATATGATAATGTCAAATATAGTTATAAATCTAAAAGAGTTATGTTATTATTCCATCCTTTTATGAGAAAAAGCAGATATTCTCTTAAACTTTTAAATTAACGTGGATAATAATAAATAAATGATAATTTTACTAATATGATAATGATTCGGTTTTAATCTTACCAAAAAACAAATAATGATTCTGTTTTAAAAATATATAAATTTTCTTTGTTTAGTTGTAGATATTGTCATATAAAAAATTCTTAGATCCTCCACTGCATTAATTTTATGTAAATACCTTGCTTGATATTTAATTTTGATTTGATATCATAACTAATCCTTGCTTTTTTTTTGGCACTAACCATTGAATTTTTTATACTGCCATTTAATTCTTGCATAAAAAATAATAATTAATAGTAGTGTTTATTATGAATGCAGGTTTGTTTTCCATAAAAACTAGATTGGATTTATGGAAGCACGTCATTGTTTCCAGTGCGAGGAAACAAATGTCGTATCACTGCTGTTGTGGCTCTTTAGTACTTTCGTTTCTGTTTATGGCTTTGCTTCGGTTGTATGGTTAGTCATCAATCATTGATCTTCTCATTGTTTGAATATTGTTGCATAGGAAAAATCTTCCTTTTTTATGAATCTTTCAAAAGTTGGGTCCATGCTATTCTCAGTGATTGATTACGTTTATTGAATATTTGTGTGCTTCCTCTGCTGATATTCTAATTCATGCTTTATTCGTCGTCTTTGATACACTCTGATTAACCATTGTGGACCTCTAGAGTGTAATTTGCAATATTAATGCAAGTCTCTTTAACTTACGGATTATGAAGAGCATCCTAAGATCGTTTAATTTGATTCAGGCTTTATGTGGCTAATGTTTGGTCTTGGATGTGAATTAGTCTATCATGTTTCTTGGAAGGTAGGAAGCAATCTTGATGTTTACCAAAATCCAATGTGCTCTTTTGTAGCTCAGTTTTGAAATATGTACTAATTATTGTAGAGGGAACCCGAAACAAAGAGACCATATGTATGATTTTATATGCGAAGAGAAGCTCCGAATTTGAAATCGTCTCCACTCCGGTGATATGTGGCCATGGTGTGAAGGAGTCTGGAGCCATGGTTATTTCAGATTCGGACATAACCGTAATTGTTAAACTAATAAAAATAAGATCAAACGTACCGGATTGATGAGAATTTTTGGTGTTCTTCGTCATGTTCTTCGTCGTATGGATCTAACAAAACAAAAAAATATATATATACCCCAGAATTTTTTTTTGTTTGTTAATAGAGAGAACCCACCAATTTTGTAGCGTTGATTGTGACATCGAATTGTTTGTCGGATGAATATAAGTCTCTAATCCGGAGACTGAAGTTGAACCCTAACAAAAACATATATTCATAGCATAAAATTCATAAATAAAAGGTAGAACATCACATAGCTTTTTCTTCA